ACTCCATTGTATGCTCTTGCCACCTTTGTCAAATATTAATTGAGCATAATGTCTTAGGTCAGTTTTTGGGTTCTTTGTTCTGTCCCATTGATCTCTATGCCTGTTCTTGTGCCAGTACCAGGCTGTTTTGATTACAGTGGCTTTGTAGTATAACCCGATATCCCTCCTACTTTGTTCTTCTTTTTCAAGATTGCTGTGGCTATATGGGGCCTTTTTTGGTTCCATATGAACTTTTGAAGTTTTTCTTCTAGTTCTGTGAAATATGTTGTTGGTATTTTAATGGGGATTGCATTGAATCTATAGATTGGTTTGGGTAGTATGGACATTTTAATGATGTTGATTCTTCCAATCCATGAGCAAGGTATATGCTTCCACTTTTTTGTATCTTCCTCTGTTTCTTTTTTCAATGTCCTGTAGTTTTCTGCAAATAGGTCCTTTACTTCTTTGGTTAAGTTTATTCCTAGGTATCTTAATTTTTTTGTCACAATGGTAAATGTGATTGTTTTTTTAGTTTCTCTTGACGTTAATTTTGTATCCTGCTACCTTGCCAAATTCGTTTATTAAATCTAGTAGATTTTGGATGGTGTCTTTAGGGTTTTCTGTCTACAATATCATGTCATCTGCAAATAATGACATTTTCACTTCCTCCTTTCCAATTTTAATTTCTTTTATATTTTCTTCATGTCTAATTGCTGTGGCCAAGACTTCCAGTACTGTGTTAAATAAGAGTGGTGAAAGTGGGCATCCCCTTGTCTTGTTCCTGTTCTTAAGGGAAATTGCTTTTAGTTTTTGCCCATTGAGTATGATGTTGGCTGTAGATTTTTCATATATGGTCTTTATTATGTCGAGATATGATCCCTGTATTCCACATTGCTGAGCATTTTTATCAGAAAGGGGTGCTGGATTTTGTTAAATGCTTTTTAAGCATCTATTGATATGATCATATGGTTATTATCTTTCATTTTTCTTATGTGGTGTATCACATTTATTGATTTACAAATATTGTACCAGCCTTGTATCCCTGGGATGAATCCCACTTGGTCATGGTGAATAACTTTTTTAATGTATTACTCTATCCAATTCACTAATATTTTGTTAAAGATTCTGTCATCTGTGTTCATCAGGGATATTGGCCTGTAGTTTTCTTTCTTTGTAGTGTCTTTTTCTGGTTTGGGAATTAGAATTATGCTGGCCTCATAAAATGAATTTGGAAGTCTTCCTTTTTGAACTTTTTGGAATAGTTGGAAGAGAATGGGTGTTAGTTCTTTTGTGAATGTTTGGTAGAACTTCCCTGTGAAGCTGTCCAGGCCTGGGCTTTTGTTTGCTGGGAGATTCTTGATTACATCTTCAATTTCCTTAGTTGTTACTGGTCTGTTCAAATTTTCTATCTCTTCCCAGTTCAGTTTTGGGAGACTATGTGTTTCTAGAAATGTGTCCATTTTGCCTAGATTGTCCAATTTGTTGGCATATAATTGTTCATAGTATTTGTTAACAATCCTTTGTATTTCTGTGGTGTCAGTTGTTACTTCTCCTCTTTCGTTTCTGATTTTGTTTGTTTGGGTCCTCTCTCTTTGTTTCCTTGTGAGTCTAACTAAGGGTCCATCAATCTTGTTTATCTTTTCAGAGAACCAGCTTTTTGTTTCATTGATCTTTTGAATTTTTTGTTTTTTTAGTCTCTATGTTGTTTATTTCTGCTCTGATCTTTACTATTTCTTTGCTTCTACTTGCTCTGGGTTTTTCTTTTTGTTTGCTTTATAGTTCTTTGAGTTAGAGATTAGATAATTAGAAAATTTTCTTGTTTCTTGAGGTAGGCCTGTAGTGCTATGAACTTCCCTCTCAGAACTGCTTTCACTGCATCCAGTAGATTTTTTGTTGTTGTGTGATCGTTTTCATTGGTTTCCAGGAAGTTTTTAATTTCTTCCTTGATCTTCTTGGTAACCCATTCATTGTTTAATAACATGCTCTTTAGTCGCCCTGTGTTTAAATGTTTTTGCATGTTTTCATTGTAATTGATTTCTAGTTTTATGCCATTGTGATCTGAGAAGATGCTTGATATGATTTTAATCTTCTTGATTGTGTCCTAACATGTGGTCTACCTTTGAGAATGTCCCATGTATACTTGAGAAGAATGTGAATTCTGTAGTTTTGGGGTGTAATTTTCTGTAGATTTCTATAAAATCCATTTGATCTGGTGCATCATTCAGAGTCTCTGTTTCCTTGTTGATTTTTTGTCTAGAGGATCTATCCAGGTATGTCAGTGGGGTGTTGAAGTCCCTTGCTATGAGTGTATTGCTGTTGTTTTCTCCTTTGATGTCTTCCAGAAGTTTTTTAAAATATATTTTGGTGGTCCTATATTGGGTGCATATATGTTTACCAAGGTTATATCTTTCTGTTGGATAGATTCTTTCAATATTATGTAGTGGCCTTCTTTGTCTCTAGTTATGGCCTTCATTTTGAAGTCTATTTTATCGGATATTGCTACTCCAGCTCTTTTTTCCTTTCCATTTGCTTGGAAGATTTTTTTCCATCCCTTCACTTTCAACCTATGTGAGTCTTTTGTTGTGAGGTGGTTCTCTTGTCAACAACATATAGATGAGTCATGCTTTCTTATCCAATCAGCTACTCTGTGTCTTTTTATCGGAGCATTCAGTCCATTTACATTTAAGGTGATTATTGATATGTACTTATTTATTGCCAATTTTGTTTATTGTGGTTATATTTTTCTTCCTATTTCTTCTACTAATTACAGCAGTCCTTTTAGCATTTCTTGCAGTGCTGGTTTGGTGCTAATATATTCCCTTAGCCTTTTTTTTTGTCTGGGAAGCTCTTTATTTGATCTTCTATTTTGAATTATAGCCTTGCTGGATAGAGTAGTCTTGGATTTAGATCCTTGTTTTTCATGACCTTGATTACTTCATGTCATTCCCTTCTGGCCTATAGTGTTTTTGTTGAGAAGTCAACTGATAGCCTTCTGGTGGTTCCTTTATAAGTAATGTATTTTTTATCTCTTGTTGCCTTTAGGATTCTCTCTTTGTCTTTAATTTTTGGCATTTTAATTATTATGTGTCTTGGTGTGGGCCTGTTTGGGTTCTTCTTAGTTGGGGCTCTCTGTGCTTCTTGTACTTGTATGTCTTTTTCCTTCACCAAGTTAGGGAAGTTTTCTGTCACTATTTCTTCAAATATATTTTCTAACCCTTGCTAATTTTCTTCTTCTTCTTGAATTCCTATGATGCAGATGTTATGTTTCATATTGTCCAACAGTTCTCTTAGGCTGTCTTCCTGTTTTTTAATTGCTTTTTCTTTTTGGTTCTCTGATTGGGTGATTTTTTCCACCCTGTCTTCTAATTCACTGATCTGATCCTCAGCTTCCTCTACTCTGCTGGTTATTCCTTCCAATGTGTTTATTTCTGCTATGTCATTCTTTATTTCCAATTGGTTCGTTTTCAGTGCTTCTATATCTTTACTCATGCTGTTGAGCTTCCTCATGATTATTAACTCTGAACTCTCCCTCTGATATCTTGCTCAATTCCCTTTCATTTATTTCATCTTCTGTCGAATTATCTTGTTCTTTTATTTGGGATTTGTTTCTTTGTTTCACTATTTTGGCTTTCTAGTGGGTTTTGGAGCCTGCCAAATTTTCCCTGTGGGTGTTGTTTTTCTGCTGCTTGTGGCTCTCTCTACTGGGTTTGCATGCGTGTGGGAGGACCCACGTTAAACATCACTGTCAAGTCTTACTTTCCTGGGTAGATTTGCAAGCCCAGGAAAGGTTCAGTTATCCTCTAGCTTTTTGCCTGGAGGCTCTTGTCTCAGTTACTTGATGAGCCTTGGATTATAGCCCTCAACTGGATGAAAAAATCCCTCAGGTGTTCAGGGAAAGAGGATTTCCAGAGGATGGGGCAGATGCTTGCTGGCTGTTAATGAGCCTCAATTTGCATTTCTCTGGCCTGGCTGGGTGCTGTTAAATTCCCGAGGGAGGGGCTGTTGCTTCTTCCTGGGCTCTGGGAAGGGGCTCCTTTGAATAAATGGCTACTGTCCTATGAGGCAGTGATTTAGCACAAGACTCCCAGTGCCCTCTAAATCCCAGGTCTCTCTACAGAGTTCCAGTCCAGTCTGCTCTCCCTCTGCCAGAGCCCAAGTTATAGCTAATTTAGTGCTCTGTCCCTGCCCTCTAGGCTATGGAACCGGCTTAAGATTTTAACCCCCAGGGAGCTGCTCACAGCTAAAATAGCTGCTGTCCGTGGGCTATGAGCCCACCCTCTCGTGCCTTCGAAGTTACTACCAATCTCGATTTTGTGTCCTCTTTCTGCCCGTGGTTATATGGGTCCTCTCCATCTTCTTTTTTGTTGGTTTTTCCCAGCAATTTGTCTTTATTTTAGTTGTAATTCCAGTTTGGTCCTGGCAGATGGTCTGTGTAGCTTCCATTCACTTTGCTGCCATTTTGGAATCTGTGCTGCTAATTCCTTAAAAGAGTTCATCCTGATGTGTTTTGTTTGAGTAAATGAAGCATTATATTGGATTAAACTTTCTGAGTTTTCTTTTAGTGACTTGGAATATTTTAAGTGACATTTAAAAGGGATTTATAGTTCAGAACTCTTTCATATGAATAGTTTGATTCCTCAGAATAATCTTTGGAAATTGGTGATTTTTGTAGCATAGAGATGAAGAAACTGATGCCAAAGTGACTTGCCCAAAAGTAATAGGTAAATTTAAAGGTAAGATTCAAATACTTACCATTAGATACTTTTGCAGGGTAGTCAGTAAATGGCACATTTGCTGTTATTTTCAGTTTCACTGTAATGTGGAAACTAAGTAGCATTGTGGCAGGAAAGTTGTATTTAAACTGTGTCTATTTGGTCTTTTTTTATTCTTGTTGAAAATATAGACAATTTTGTGGCAAAAAATGACATATAGAGTAGAAACTTAAAAAATTTTCATATCTGATTATTGGATTTTTTTTTCTTCTTCCCTTTACACCACCCCCAATCCCTTTTAAAATAAAGGTCTGAGGGTCATTTGTGTCTTCCTGTTCGATATACACATTCCTTCCCAGAAGCCTTACAGAAGTTCTATCGTGGTGAGTTCAGGTAGGAACTTCTTTCTATTGTTATATAAATACCTTCATAAATGTGTGCCTTTAGAATGCTGTTAAACAGAATTAGGTAATAAATATTTGGATTAGTCCATAGTTAGAACAGTAGCCCTAATACGTTAGCTGAGTCACAAACACATCTAACTTACCTTATTCTGGTCCAGTTGGAAATGGGTAGAGAAATCCTAACAAATGCCACTTGGCTTATAAAGTAATTGCAAGTAGAGATTTTTCTCCTTCAGTGAGATAGAGGCCATGTCTCTACTTTCTTAGTCTTGTTACTTGTTCTTAGATAGTTAAAACTGTTGGCTAAAACTGAGGGTTCAAATGCACTGAGATTTTATATTTTTTATCCTCATCTTCTCCCGTCCAGAGTGACTGAGTTTCTCCAACCTTGCTGAGATTCTTGATATCTCTGTCTTACATATTAAGATTTCACAAGCAGTGGGGATGGGGTTTTCCCATATTTCTTTCACTGAATTTGTTCAGTGGTCAGACTACCGTGAGAAGAGAGGGCTGAGGGAAGAGTGGACATGGGGTTGCTCAATTATATTAAAGAAAAGTGAGTGGGACTTCTTTTGATTTCCTGACTTGGACTAGATTTTATAGTTTGAGAAAGCTTTTCTCTGTGTATTTGGGTAATTGTAGTAAATTGTTTTTACTTCTGGAATCATTAATAGTGATTATAGTTTCTAGTCATTTCAGAAGTTTGGCACCTCTACGAATGACTAGCTACCAAGTGGGAGTATATTTTTGTATCTGGCAGAATCTGTCCCATTGGCTTTTTGATACATCAATTTTTGGTTTTGAAATCAATTAAATCTGATTCTTTTTTCTTTACTTTTACCAAAAATGCCATTTAAGTTTTAGGTGAAGGACGTTTATCTAATCCGACTACCTTAACACAATATAATTTTAATTCAGGATGCTTTCTTATCTTATACTTTCTGATGAGCAAAGCACAATTATATCTAGCTTATTGTCTCCAGTTTAATGTATACTTGATAAAGAATTTACTTTAATTCAAGTTATTTGGGAGATTTTGTACATCTGCATTAGATATTTCCATTATAATTGAACAGAGAAATAAACTTCTAAATCTGTCTTTAAGCAGGAACAACTAGATTTTTTTTAATGAATTTTTAATTTGGTGAAATTAAAATGTTTAATTTTTAGTTTAATTCTGTCTTAACATAACTTGCTTTTCATTCGCTCTTCTAAGGTGGTTATGGAGGCAGCGAATCAGGTTATACCTTGAAGGGACTGGCATAAACCCCATTCCTGTGGACCTTCACGAACAGCAACTGAGTTTGAATCAACATAGTAGAGCCTTCAATATTGGAAGAGTTCATGATGAGAGTAGGTCGATTGGGAATTAAATGTGTTTGGGGCAATATTTAACTTACAGTTCTTTTGATGTCTAATTTTTAAAAGTAACACTTTATAATTAACTTACTTGGGGATTTTAGTGTCAGTGACAACACTTAAGAAAATGCAGCAAACTACTTCAGGTCTAAAATGTACTATGATTAGACATCGAAGTAAGAAATATAGCATATTTCTAAAAGATTGTTTTCTAGGATGGGTTTGAAAACTAGTTGATTAGGGAAGGCTTAAAATGTTCAAGGGGATAGATGATATTTAAAGAAAGATTCTTGGCCTTAATCTTTGAAAGGTCAAAAAGGAAAAAGCAGTAGAAATAAAATGAGCTAATTTGTGGAAGATTTTATAATAATTATATATTCATATAGTTATATTTAAACATATTTACTGTTGTTATAGTTACTGATTAAAACATTTATATTGGGAAATTTTGCATTCCAGCCTTCAGATTTGTATTTCAAATATTTGTGTAAGCTGCTAAGAGAATATTAGCATAGGATGATTGTTATGCAGCATTTTTGTTATAGGGAGTTAAGATGAAGTCTCGTTTCTGAGTTTATTTATGGACTATAATTTAGCCTTATTTTCTGACTTTTCCCATAACTGTAAGGCTTCTCATGATGCAAGAAGATCCTAAGAGCCCAGCTGGTGTGGCTTAGCGGATTAAGCATCATCTCATGGACTGAGAGGTCCCCATTCGATTCCAGGTCAGGGCATGTGCCCAGGTTGTGGGCTCGATCTCTGGTAGGGGGCATGCAGGAGGCAGCTGATTGATGTTTCTCTCACATCAATGTTTCTATCTGTCTCTCTAAAAAAAATCAATAAAAACAGTAAAAACAAAAAAGAAGATCCTAAGAGATATCCTACCTAAATACCTCAATATTTTTTTCTCTTGTGTTTTATTTCCTGAACTTACCAGGAAAAGCTACCTTCACACATCTGCTTTCTGTCTCTGTTTCTGTCTTGTAATGGTACCTAATGTTTTTGTGTATTTTTTTCAGAGTTCTTCATGGTGATTTATAGCTTTATAGGTTAGCATGTTCCCAACCTACGTGTGTGAGTTCATACCATGTTTTAGAGATGTTCCTTCTCTCCCTGAATAACAAAAAAATTCATTTGATTTTAGGAATCTTTTAAGTAATTACATGCATATGAATTCCTATTACTGATTTTGAAAAACTGCAGCAACTATTCAGTAAGATTTAAAAATCTTGGTTAGAAATTTTACTTTTTTCCACACCAGAATTTATTGCTCCCAGCAGAAGATATTCAGGTATTGGCTCTTTTCACCGACAGTCTTATAGGAAAGATGTAGATTGTTCAGACCCTTATCTCAGATTCACAGTTTGTAGCTTGTAAACTGAGTTAATAATATATTATATGTAGAAACAAAATTACATATAAATTGAGTAATATACAGGGTGTTCACATCTGATTTGTGGTAATTGTATAAAAAGAAAGAAAATGTTCAAAATTTAAAAAAGTAATAATACAAGAAACTTAGGCACCAATCTTTGAATTAAAAGGACCCACAAATCACTTAGCATAATTATGCTACAAGGTCCCACACAAGGTATGTCAGATACAGGGATAAAACGAACTCCTCCAGGTTTCCAGAGGAAAGTGAGTGGTCATGGTGGTTGGTAGGTTAGTATATCTAGAGAACCTGGAATCAGAATAGTTTCAGATTTTTAATATTAACATGGAAATTGTTATAATTTTTGAGGTAGTTATCAGTATTGTTGATATTATTAACAATTATGTGATATTTACTATGTCTAGGAACTAGTTTGGAGGGTTTTTTTTAATAACTTTATTTTCTGAGACAAAATTGAGGAGAATTTTAAGGTACATGTCATATTTCCCTTTTAAATTCTCTTCAACTTGGCAGGAAACATTTCCTAGTAAGCTGCCATTTGGGATTTTTGAATATAGGAGTGTGAGATTATTAATATACCACCAAGTTTGATCCCTTATTTAGTTTTCTAATTTTGAACAAAAGATTACATAGGAAAGCCCTCGCCAGTTTGGCTCAGCTGTTGGAGTGTTGGCCTGCGGACCAGAGAGTCCCGGGTTCATTTCCTGTTAGGCCCTAGCGGCTAGCGGCACATACCAAAAAAAAAAAAAGATTATGTAGAAAATAAAAAGGGTTTTGTTTTTGTTTTTGTTTTTACTTTTCAGTTTAAAAAGGGATGATGTAATTTTAAACAAAAATTTTCATTGTATGTAATGTAATCTATCCTTCGTTTACATGTTAATGGAGAAGAATTCATTTTTATTACCTGTATACCTTCAGGGGAACATAGGGTTAGTTTATTATTTTAAAAAATGTTTTATCACATGAACTAGTAACTCTTATTTTCAAGGCTGAGTGTATTAATTTGGATAAGTGAATGGATTTGCTAAACTCTTCCAGGATTTCCGTAGCTTAACTTGATGAAGGTTTAATTCTAGCTCATCGCACTGTCCGAAGGGTGTTTACGCAACCCTGGAGCAGTGGCTCCTGTCGTCTTCTAAGGCCTCAAGACGGATTCTCTGTGCTTGTGTAGAGCAACACAATGAAAGCATGGATAACCTTAAGGGATGTTTTAGGAGCCAGGCCTTTTTACTTTGCTCATATTCCATTATAGTCCCATGGGTATACCCAGTGTAAGTAAACCTGAAAACATAGTCTAGCAGGATGACAGATAGAATTGCACAGTGTAGTACTCCCTGTCTCTAGTACAGTATAAAACTTCTATATTTAAAAATACAAATTCTAGTTAATTTTGTAACCCATTCTTTTGGATAGAAACATGTTGGTATTCAGTCCATTTTAAAAAATTAAGTTTATTGGGATAACATTGGTTAATAAGATTATATAGGTTTCAAGTATACATTTCTGTGATGTATGATCTGTATATTGCATTGTGTGCCCACCATGCATATACAGATAGATCATCTCTGTCACCATATATTTGACCCTGAATTAAGTGAGACAGAAAAAGTTAAGAACCATATGATTTAATTCATAAATGGAATATAAAACTGAAAATAACAAATGAATAAACAAGAAAAACAAACAAAAACTCATAGACACAGACCAACAGTATGGTGGTTACCAGAGGGAAAGAGGGTTGGGAGGTAGCAAAGGGTAATTGAGTCCATTACTTCATGTCTTATTAAAGCAAGTTGTAAATGGACAGTTTCACAATTAGGGAATGTTTGGTAGTTAGCATAAAAGAACATAAAGTAGACTTAAGATGATTAATGAAATTTGAAGTAATTTTACGTATTCTTTTCCTCTTTGACAAAGGATTTCAGGTGAAATACAGTAAGTACAGACAAAAATGCAATATGGAAAGGAAAATTAGGAAGAGGAAAAATGCTTGTAGAGGAAAGTCAAGACTATATAAAAGAAAAACATGGTTACAGTTTGATGGTGAGAATTCAGATTTATTAGTAATATTTAGTGAGTACCTACTGTTAGTTGAGCATTTGTAGAAAAATCTGTGTTGAGATGTACAACAAATTCCATTGGTAATTACCTTATGTAAAAAAATAATTTAAACAGTGATTTTAGCTTTTTACATTTCTAAAACTATCAGGTATGAGAATATATATATAACTAGTACCAAACTAAGTTTCAAAAGTTCACAGGTTTTGCAATCTTACGTGTAATCAAATTTGAATCGAAATTCAATCACATTTGAATCCAATTATTATATACCTTTTTGTGTCAAGTTCCTTCTACACTATTACAAGATTGAGCTGATAATGTTAACCCATTATATAATTTATTCAAATAACAAGCTTTCAGAGGGTACTTGGCATTGTAATAACAAGTTATTATATATATATATTTTTAAAGGTTATTATTTTAAAAAAATATATATATATATATACACATTTTAATCCTCACCCGAGGACATTTTTGCATTTATCTTCAGATTGGGAAGAAGAGAGAGAGAGAAACATCGATGTGAGAGAGACACATTACCTGGGTGTCACCCACACAACCTCAACTGAGACCAGGGACAAACTGCAACCGAGGTACGTGCTTTTAGCGGGAACTGAACCCCGGGGTCTCTGGTCCATGGGCCGACGCTCTAACCGCTGAGCCTTAACCGGCCAGGGCTAAATGTGTTTTCATTGACTTTTTTAAATAGGAAGGGAGAGAGAGCTAGAAACATCAATCGGCTGCCTCCTGCACACCCCCTACCAAGGATCAAGCCACAACCTGGGCATGTGCCCTGACCAGGAATCAAACTGGGACCTCTCAGTCCCTGGGACGGATGTTCAATCCACTGAGCCACACTGGCCAGGCAAGTTGTTATATTTGAAAGAATAGGGATAGTTGGGTCCCCTTTAGGCAGTTGTAGTCCAAAAGAAATGTGATACATGTAATTAATGTTCAATAAACATATAAACAGAAGAATATAATAATCAGGCTAGCAAGTCAGAGGAGATCAGTGGTTGTATTGGTGCAATAGTGAAAATTTATACTAGTGTATTAAGTGTCTGATATGTAGTAGATATCTGTTGCTGCATAACAAATTAACCCAAAGTTTAGCATCTTAAAACATAAATATGATATCATAGAGCATGCGAAGGTGAAGAATCTAGGAGCAGCTTAGCTTGTTAGTAATGGTTTGGAGATTCTCAGGAGGTGACGGCTAAGCTGTGAGCTGGGACAGCAGCATATCTGAAGACAGAACTGGGACGTGAGATCTGTGCCCCAGCTCATTACGTGGCTATTAGTGGGAAGCTTCAGTTCCTCACCATGTTGGCCTCCCCATTGCACTGCTCATGAAATATCTTTCCCCAGACCAAGTGATCTGAGAGAGAGAACCAATAGGCAGAAGCCAGGGTGTCTCCTTTGAATCTCCGAAGTGACACATCACTTCTGCCATACATTAGTCACACACCAATCCTGGTGTGCTGTGAGAGAGAATTACACGAGAATGTGAGTACCATGGGACAGGATTCACTGAGGACCATCTTGGAGGCTAGCTACAGTTGGATGGACTTTTAAACTTTGTCTTAGGAGAAAGTGTGGGGGCGACAGAAAAGGGAACTTGTCCCATGGTGCTTGGCCAGCGGGAGATCCTAGGGTGCAGTGAGTGACTCTGCCTTCGGTGACATTCGGAAGATGGGATTGGCATTTCCAGTTGGAGACTGATAAAAGATAAAACGTAAAAGAAACCATTTGAGGTTTCCAATCACAAGTTGACCCAGAAAGCAGTGGGAATCCTTTGGAGGATTCTATGGGATTGAGTGATGTTTAATTATCACCAAGGAAGATGGCTTAAGCTGCTGTGCGGCCTGAAAGTGTGGAGAGAAGAGGCGCATTTTGAGGCGTCATGGATGGAGATGTGGCAGTGTTCCTCCAGTGCTGCTGCCGCCGAGGCCCTCGTGGGGTTTCTGCCTAAAAAATACAGCCGATTTCTAACATAACTGATTTGGTTTCCAGCATGAAACATGCATGTAATTTGCTTTTAAATCCAAATTGGCTCTCCTTTGGCAGTATGTGATCATTTCCACCTCTGAAGTTTCCAGAGTAAAACCAAATTAAGTGTGACAACATGAATCTTGTGAGACGGGTAAATATATTCTACCACTCTTAAAAAATTGTCTCAGGAAGAATTGAGGTTTATTTTGGAGAGACAGAGGCTTCATTGCAGCTGTAATTTTAGATGACTTTGAGGTTTATATTATGAATACTTTGTCACTTTATATATTAATAGTGTTAAAGTATAGTTTTTATTACAATAAAAGTATGAATATTTTAATTTTTATAAAATGTATGTCATAACATTGTTAAAATTTAAGAGCTATCTTGGATTTTTTTCTTCATTACCTGCAGGGTCCGAGGCTTCGGGACCCCAACTTCTGCCGGTGAGAGCACTAAATGAAGTTTTCATTGGGGAGAGTCTGTCATCCAGGTACAGCTAAACCTGTGATCTTGAGTTTGGAAGTTAATGTTTGAGTAGTTTTTAGATAGTTATTGAATTTATACAACCTAAGATTTGTGAATAATTAATACTGTATAAGTAATAGAATGAATTATTTAATGAAATCTTTCTGAAACCTTCATACACATTAATATATATTAAGAGAAAAGAAGGTTCTATGACCTAATATTTCTGTTAAACCCTAGGTTAAGCAAAGTTATTCAGGTTTCTTTACTGCAATATTTCCCAGAACCTTTAATCTGTCAAATAAGTGCATTTATATTTATCATATACATGTTTAAGAGAATGATATACCTACTAAGTATATGTTTGCAGTTGATAGAAAACTTTTATAGACAGTCATATTTAAACTTACCTAATTGTCTTAATAACATCCTTTAAAACTGATTTGTTTGTTTGCTTGTTTTTATCCAGGATCCCATTAAGGATCACACATTGCTTTTGGCCATCAAGGCCCTTTAGAATTAATTAATAATAGGTCTTTAGCCCCAGCCCTGTCTTGTCATTCATAATATTAATATTTTGAGTGGTCTAATTCAGTTCATTTGCAGAATATCCCTTATTTTAGATTTGTGTGATTTTTTTTCTCTGCATGATAAGATTCAGACTAAACATTTTTGGCAGAAATACTACATAAGTAATAATTGCATCCTTCTTAGTGCAACATCGTAAGGCAAGTATATCAACAGTTTAAGATTTGTAACCATTATTAGCAAAAAATTAAGGTTAATGAAGTTCCTCATTAAGAGTATAAATATATAGTATGTTTTATGAAATCCGTTTTGGGGTGTTGAATATAACTTAGGCTTAAATTGTCAGTAGAGTTTTTTTTTTTTTTTGCAAAAGTTTTTTTAAAAATTTTTTCTTTATTGATTTTTAGAGAGAGAGGAAGGGAGAATGAGAGATGGAAACATCGATGAGAGAGAACATGGATTGGCCACCTCCTGCGTGGCCCCCCACTGGGGATTTGACCCACAACCTGGGCATGTGCCCAGACCAGGAATTGAACTGGCGACCTCTTGGTACATGGGTCGATGCTCAACCACTGAGCCATACCGGCTGGGCTTGTAAAACTTTTTTTGGGTTTGTTACCAGTTATAAAATGACTGCTATAATATCTTTATATTAGTACTTTAGAACTTGCTCTCTCCTGGTGTGTATGTAAGTAACGTAGGGGTTGAAGATGAGAGATGAGTCTGTGTCCCGCTTTCCTGCTCCTAGAACCATGTGCCCCTGTGCAGGCCTTGTGGTTGGTTCCCTGGTTTACTGAGCAGAGTTCTGCACATTCTGAAATTCTGTTTGTTGTAAGTCACATCCTTTCATAGGAAGTTTAATTACAGTGAGAAAAATTTGTCTTAATTAAAAAAGATACCAATGTTTTAGCCAATGACTTCACTTAGGTAGTGAAAAAAACAAGGCCTGATTCAACAGGATGACTTGAACAATATTGAGTAGTTGTAATTATTTTGATTAATATAACTTTAAATTTATTCAATAAAAATTTATTGTGCACTGCTGTGTGTAATATGGGAGCCACTAGGAATATAATGATGAATAAGATAAAGGTAGTGGTATCTTAATTTTTTGGAGGGTTCTGGTAAAATACCTAACTTAAAAAATTATTAAAAGTAAAATTTATTCAAAGAAATAAAAAATATGATCTTTAAAGAACTTAAAAGTGGAAAAATATATTTATCTTAACATAGTAAGGCATGCTGTATATAAAGTTTTTTCTTTTGCTGTATATCATATTTGAAGCAATATGGAAATGACTAATGGGTACATTTATGTGATAGAAGAGAGAAGGAAGAAAATGTAACTAATTAGTAATATGATCTAGTTATTATTGCTAAAGACATAAGACAAGAGAGCAACAACTTTAAGTGAGATTGGAGAAAGTCTATTAAAATGCATGGATGACAAAGGTAAAAAATGTTTTGTGAATTTATGCTTTTACTTTAAGGAAGCCATTTAATGGCTTATGTTATTACGTTTGTATATTTTAAAGGTTATAAGTTCTCAGAGCTTTTGCTCGCATTGCTTTATAATTTGTATTTACTAAAATTAAGTAACTTATAAAAGGAGGGAAACTGGATACACTGAGTTATTTCGGGCATCCAGCGAAGTCCCAGTAGGGTATTTCAGATCGAATGCTTCTCTCTTCTGTGGCAGTAGTGACTTGGTGGGTTTATCTCCTAAATAATACCTGATGCTGCTTCTTTTCGTGCTCTTTGATGGCTCGCCTTATATCTTTACTAAGATAAGGACAGCAGTGGGTTGTCTTCTGATGCTATTGAAAGAGGTTTCTCTGTTGAAGGTATTAGCACTTACTTTGACAGATTCTATGACATAGACCTTTAGGCAGAAAGGAAATGATGAACACTTATTAGTTGCCTGCTATGTGTCAGACACTGTGTATGCTGTGTAGATTATCACATTTAACGCTCATAGCAACCCTGTGAGAAAGGTAGTTGTATTTAGCAGTGAAAAAAATTGAGGTTAAGGTTTGGGGAGTTCAAGATAACTTGCCCAAGGTCATATAACTAGTTAGCCTCAGAACTGTTACATGAAGCCAGTATTTCTGATTTAAGATCCTATATTAGGCTACACTATGACCTGAAGTGCAGCAATATTATTCCTGCCTCATTTATAATGTTCTTAGATTTAAGAACATTTTAAAAGCCCATTTTTTTTTCTTTTCTCTTATTTGTTCTAACCTAGAATGTCTTATTCTTGGGCTGTAGCAGTGGACACTTTAAGAAGAAGTATACCCACTCTAAAGGGACTGTGAGTTTTATTGCTGCCTTAAAAAATTATTTCCCTGAAACAGAAATTCTATGAGTTGACTAATCTTGATAAACCTGCATGAGAGAATGACACTAAATTTGCTCATTATCTCTCACCTGACTCTTTCTTTCTTCTTCTCCACCTCTGCTTCTCTGTCCCCACTTATCTAATCTCGTTTCCATGTGATTCTGGCATAATAGCAGCCATTCCAGTGATTTGGCTGGCTTGTCTAGATATAACAGGCTCCTAATGAGACTAAAATTCCTAATTTTCTAAGAAGGCATAATAAAGCCATGCAGTAGATTAAATGTGACTATTAAGCCCGCTGTCTTTTACTTATATGAAGAATGCCGAGTTGAGAGAAAAAATGAAAAGGAGTTGTATCATGTAAAACCTACACAGATCCAGAGAGAAATTGAAAGGGTTAGAATAAGAGTTAAATTATCCATTGAGTACTAGTGTTTGCAAGTATATGTGATAATTAATTATTTTGAAAAGCCGTATTTTATTAAGGGTTTATTTTAAATTTATTTGCTAGAGAAAAATAACCTAGTGTTGTTATTGACACCATTATTTTAAGATACAGCTTACAAAATAGGCTTTTACATGTTTCAAAATATCTTTGAATAATTGCGCATCATTTATACTTTCATGTAGTTAAAGAATAGTGTCATTTTTGCTGGTGTCAGAAAACTCATTTGATTTCATTTCATGAAATACTCTAAGAAATATAAACATTTAAGGAAGTTACAGTTTTAATTTTATCTCTAGTTTTGTCCACTAATGCGGTACTGGTTGAGAATTTTCTTTATAACTTGTTGGCTTAGTGTCAGTCCAAAAGGCATTAGTATGTAACTCAACAGAAACTTAGCAGAAACTCTTGGTAACTCGAAGGATTTATTATAGACTTAAACATATCAGGGACTAGCTATCAAGAAAGAAAGTCACCGAAGAATGGTTTTTCTTTCTGAAATCTGAGGGCTCTGCACGTGTGACACTCCATAAAAGCAGCAGCAGCAATGCTAGGTAAACATTTAGAAGACGCCCCTGTTTGGAATGTTAAAGTTGATAGAAAGGAGCATATAGATCAGAGAGTGATGTAAACATGCAGATTTTTTTTTTAAACTTTTTTACCTAATATTAGAATTAGCATCATGATGTGTGTGCCTACTAAGGTATGTCTAAATCAGGCTGGCCAACTTAGATTTCATCAGTTCTGAAAAAGACTGTGTTTGTCTTGTTTACTCTGAGCCATAAGTTCAGCAAATCCAGTTTTATTGTCTCATTTATAGGGCTTCCTACTATGAGATTTCAGTTGATGATGGTCCCTGGGAGAAACAGAAGAGTTCAGGGCTCAATCTGTGTACTGGAACGGGATCAAAGGCCTGGTGAGTAACTTGGGAAGTTGATCATCAACATTTGTGAAATATTTAAGTAATGTGATTGACTTGTTGTCTCGTATCGGCATGTCTGAGGTCTCTGATACACAAAAGGTATCCTGGTGGTGCTGTGTTGGTTGGCCCAGTTTCTGCTTCACTCATGGATCGAGTCTAGAAGTCTTGCCTTGACTTCTTAGGTACAACTGCAGCCTAGCTTTGGTCGTTACCTGACTAGATTTGTAAAGAGAAAAAAGAAGAGAACTGCTTTAGGTACTACATACTTTTTAAAAATGAAGAATATTTTAGATAATAGTAAAGAAATGAAAACAAAGTTCAATACAGAAAAAACATATGCTGGAGTGTGTCCATTACCGGTCTAACTGGAGATAACCTGGGCCTCCGGTGTCTCTTACCCTGTAGTCTTTCTGGACAGTCTCTTCTGCTTCTAGCGCTCGTGCAGACGTCTCCCAGACGTCTTCTTGCAGTGGTCTTCTCTCCTGAGTGCAGCCCATGTTCTAAAGTTGCCTAGGAGATAGAAAGGTGATAACTTCTCAAATTCAGTGCCTTTAAAACGAAATTTATTGTCTTCGGTTTTACTACCTGTGTTCCTTGCATTGCTTAATAGTACCACTGTTTACTCTGAGTTAATGCTCTAGAGGAAAAAAAAACACACACACATTTTTCCTGCAAATCTTGCTTGTACCTTTGAGTCTTCCTGTTCTCCCCTTTCCATATGCCAGTTATACCAGTTTCTAAATCCAGTCAGTGGCACTTCTGAAATCCTTGCTCCCCTTTTTCAGTTTCTACTGCTATTTCTTTGGCCGGGCCCCATCATTTTAGTGACTATTTTTTGTGCCTGACCCTTTATTCTTCAGGCTGTCATCCATACTACCAACAGCATAGTATTTCTAAAACGTAGATAAAATATGACTCTACCCCTTCTGTGCTTTAAAATTTTCATCAATTCCTTTGTTCACATTGCTCAGTCTGTTGCGCAAGGCCTTGTAATAGGACCTAAGGTTCCTTGCCAGCCTGTTGCTGCTCTGCCTTAACCCATCAGCACACTGGGCACACCACAGGCTGCTTGGAATTCTCAGCACAAGCCATGTTCTCTCTGGGCTTTTTGTGTTTACTCAATGCAACTTCTTTCTGCATTGAATGTTTGAACACTCTTCACTTTCCATCCCCGGGCTGAAAAATCCAGTCTTCAGTTGTCATTTTCTGTAGGAAAACTTTATTAGGACCTATTTTTTTTCATAGGCATAATTACCCCCCCCCCTTTTTTTGTCCTCACCAGCACTTTTTTCTCATTGCACTTACTACATTATTAGTTATCTAATAAGCTCATACCAAGCTAGTTTGAGCAACTTGAGGCATTTAGGATGGTAACTGGTGTCGACACCCCCCCCCCCCGCTTAATTTTTTGTTTGCATATCATAGTACCTAGTACATTTTCATGAATATCTTTTTTGAATAAATGACTGCATGCTCACAGATAATGCTTATGAAACTGTGATCTTAAGTGTGGACAGTTTAAAACGGAGTTTTAGTTCCTATTTTGCAGCATTACTTTTTAAAACTTTTTATTGTGGAAACTTTAAAATATATACAAGATTAGGAAAATTGTATAATGAATCCTCATGTACTTATTAGCCAGATTCAGTAGTTATAGACTCATGTCCAATCTTGTTTTCTCTGTTCCCCTATATCTCTTTTCATATCATAAAAACATATTTTGGAGTAATTTTAGACATATCACTTGCTTCATAAGTACTCAGTAACTTAACATCTTAAGAAAAAAATCCTAGTCTTAGTTAAATGAATGAACCTTTGGGGAAAAAATGAGAAGTATCATTTAAAAAGATTGGTTAATATCTTATTTTCCTGAAGGCCAGTGAGAACTACATTTCTAAAAGGATTTTTCTAATAATTATTTTAAACAATAAATTTAATCATTTAATATGCTATAAAGCCATTTTGTATCACCTCATAAGTTGAAAACATTACAATAACAGCTTTAATTTATCATAACATTTTTTGCTCAACATGGTGTGTTACTTGTTGAAAACTGGATTGAGAATTAGAAAGTTTTCTTGTCCTTTCCCTTCTCCCGGGATTTTCATCCTTTAAAAATGGGCAGAATAGTATGATTGCAGATATAGCCTGGAAACAGACCTGGCTAAACCACTGACCAGCTCTGTCACTTTGTACATGTTTTCTTTTCTGCAAAATGAGGACATGCAGTAGATAAAATAAATTTGATTACTTTATCCTCTGAAATTCTGTGATTCTGTTCTATTTTATGTATTACAATGCAAACTATTCGTTATTTAGCCCCTGCTAATTTGAATATACTGTGCTAGGTACTTAAACATTGACTGTAATCCTCACAGAAATCCTGCAAGAGGGCAGTAGAATTCCTGTTTTGTAAAGGAAGAAATTGGGGCTTACCCAGGACAAAGAGTTAGGCGGAGGTCACACAAGTGTCAGAACCTGGATACAAGCACTGGCATGCTTGACTATAGAATTTAGGCCTTTTTCAGTGCCGGCTTTAAAATGGAGAGGGATGGAGAGCCATCTAGAGGTCACACAGTTGAATGAACAGTCACTAGGTGGTATTGAGAAACCATCAAGGTAAATTTACCAATCTTAGAGAAATAGTGCTTAAGTACGCTCAAGGCAGTGGGCTTTGACTTCTGCTGTGTGTGTGTGTGCAATTTTGATAGGGTTAGTTTTCAGCCTTTCAATAGTGAGCAGAGCATAAAGAAAAAGAGCCATTACTTTGTTAAGTGCTCCCCCTCCCCTGCCGCACACCGTATAGTTAGTTGAGTCTTGTGTTGCTGTCTTCATTTGGATAAGTATGGCTTAGATTAGAATTTCAGTCTTTCCTGTGCTGCTTATTAGTCTCCTATTGTTTCCTGTGTTCTGGTAGAGAACTTTCTCTCACTATGTGGCTCTAGTCCCTGCCACCGTAGTTACTCAGTCTTTCTTCTCTCCTTAGCCCTATGCAGCCTGCTTACTTCTAGCCTGTTCTACCCTCTTTTCGCCCACTACTGATAAATCTTTTGCATTTACATTCATCTTTTGTCTTTTTCTTTCTTCAGAAATGAAGGGAGAGAAGAGAACCCTAGGGGCTGGGGGAAAGCTGTACATTTTTATATGTTATTAATTTTTAATCTCCTCATACCACCATTTCTGAGCATTTTCTTTGTCTTAAGCTAAGTATATTATTTAAATTATCAAAAATACTCTGGAAGTAGGAGACTCTTAATAGAATATAGAGTCAGAAGTTAACTAGTGTACCCAAAGTCATCTAGTAAATGAAGAAGGAAGGATTTAAATTCTAGATTTAACTAAACTGTAGAGCCCTGAGGAATTACTGGAAAGAAACACTAGCATAGCCTGTTTCCTTTACTATTCTTCTTTTAATTCTTGATACAGAGAGACAAAAGTCTGTTTTGCTTTGTGACCTTCTCAGTCCTTGCTTGAAATATGAAATTTGGAAATGTATAATAACTTAGGGTAAGCTAGTTATTGTGACGAGCCCCCCCCCCCCCCCCAATCTCAGTGGCTTATTGCAATGGAAGTTTATTTCTTGTTCTTGTGAAGTCTGAGTGGGTGTTTCTAATTGGCAGGTGGCTGTCCTTCATGTAGTGAATCAGGGAACCAGGCTACTTCTATCATGCGGCTCTGCCATTTTTTAAGCCTAGCTCCTGAAGTTGCTGTGCTCATTTACATCAAGCCACAGAAGGTGGAAAGGTTTCACAGGTCCTGTGGGGGAGGTTTATGAGACAGGCTTAGAAGTGCGGTCCATGATGTTCACTCTCAGTCCTTTAGCTAGAGCTCAGTCACTTGGCTAGACAGCACGACGGGGTGGAAAATATAGCTTATTTGCCCAGCAGGAAAAATGGTTTATGAAATAGCTATCCCATTTTTGCGTTTTCAAAACTTCTTCCACGGGACATAGGACATAGGGGTTAAGTATAGTAGGTTTCCCTGGGTTGCTGCATTATCATCTTGGTCTCCTTCCCATTGTGGAACATGATTTCCTACATACACTGGCAGATGTACTCCAGAGTGGGATCATACATGTTTCTGTTAGTTCTTAAGACTGTCCCCAGTCCTCCTCCTCTATACATTCTGTCCTAGCAGACTTAAATAAGGGCACGGAGGTTCTTAAGAATATTTTGCTAGCTGATGAAGATAGGAGACTCAATTTCTCTTTCAACTTGGTTGTCTGTAGTACAAGGTATATCTGATTACAAATGGGAACTCTTAGAATGGTGAAGGTTATAGAAAAAAAGTGGTCATGTGCTAGCTGACACCTGCTTAGTCATACAGTTTGTCTTTTATGTAGACTATAAACCACTTCTAAAGGTAGGGTGAATTGGCTGAGATCCAGGTTCTAACCACAGGAAATGAGTCTTAATTCAGTCCCAATTCAGAGGACTTAGTTTGGGTTGGTTTTAATAGGAATGCGGTGTTCCTAATAATAGGAATCTAGGAATATTACAGCAAGTCTTAGCCTTTTCTTCTCTTAAGTTAAATCTTAACTACAGTAAGTTACTAAACTCTTCTGCCCTTTATATTTTTTAATTCAATGGAACCCTAATAAACATAGCTCATTTTTATGTGACTTTTAGATTTAAAATAGAACTCTAAAATAGTATCTTCCAATAATGTGGATATTCAATGGAATTAGAATATAACATATATATCCCTTGCTTTTTACATTTTCATTTAGTGCTGAGTTGTTGCCCTGAGCCAAGTAGTACCCTAAACTAAGTGCCTGATGTCTTACAGCACATGACGTGAGATAGGTATTGGGAACTTGTACTAAATAATAAGACAGCCAGGACACTTAAAATATTTTGCTTTATTACCAAATAGTAAATATGAGCAAAGGTACACAGGCAAAAATGAGCTTGGTGTGGTCAGAATATAAAATTGGAGGGCAGATAAATAGGCAAGAGCCAGATTTTAGATTTTTGTAGCAGAGGGATTTGGTTTGTGAATGACCCCAAATTTTTAATGTAAAAATTTGTGTATCTGCATTTTTCTTAAGAGAGTGTTCAAAATGTTTTCACATTTCTCAAAATGTGAAGAATATAGAGTTAGAATGGTATATGGAGTATTTATTACTCCCCCCTCAAAAAATGTTAAGAGTCACTGAATTAGGTTAGAGTTGTGTGACTCATTACGTTATTCCTTTTCATTAGGGTTGTCTACTGATGCCGTGTGAGAAGAGTATGAGGCAGTAGAATAATTCTAAGTTTCCTAGAAGAATTTTTTAAAATAAACGTTTTCTTAATCATCTTTATAGACCCCATGACATAGCTACTTTTAAGTCATTTATGTTTGTATTGACATTTGCTTGTAAGTGGTTAAGTAAGGCATCATACTGGCAAAGAAAGGATTTCTCACCTTTATGGAAACTATTTTATGACTTAAAGAAATACATATGTTAAAAATATGTTAAATAGTACAAAAGGGTATACATTGAAAAGCTAGTCTCTCTTTAATTTCAAATCTCTACTGTTAATCCCCAGACACAATCACCATATATATAATTGTTTTTTAAAATATGTTTTTATTGATTTTTTTAGAGAAGAAGGGAGAGAGAGGGATAGAAACATTAGTGTGAGAGAGAAACATCAATTGGCTGCGTCCTGCACACCCGCTATTGGGGATCGAGCCTGCAACCCGGGCATGTGCCCTGACCAGGAATCGAACTGGGACCTCTCAGTCCATGGGACAATGCTCAATCCACTGACCCATACCTGGGCTATAATTTTTAAAACAATATAAATAAAACAGGGAAGTAACATATATACTATATAATGCCTTTAGTTTCTTAACATATTGGTTCTTCATATCAGTACATGTAGTTCTATTTTATTCTTTTTAGTATCTACATAATACTCTGCTGAGTAGATGTAATTTATTTACCAGTTTCCTATTGCTACATATATAGTTGTTTTGCTAATATAAACAGTGTTTCAGTAAATATCCTAGTATATGTCTTTGTGTATAATATATGCAAGCACATTTTACGGTAACTTACTAGATTGAAGAATATGTTCTTTTTAAATTTTAATAGTGCAGAATTGCTCTTTGACTGCAACTTCCATAATCCCATCAGTGTATGAGAATACTTCTTTACCCATACCTAGGTCAATACATTAGTTATCATTTTTTTATTTTTGCACATCTGAGAAAAAGCTTGTTTTAATTTGTATTTCCTTAAGTATGAGTAAGAATGAACATTTTTTTTATATAGGCCTATGAACTGTTTGTCTATATACTTGGCCTATTTTTAAAACTGGGTAAAGTGGCTATTATCTTTTGGTTATTTTTTTTTTTTTATAATTCTAAGAGTTCTTTGCATATTAAGTAGATTATTCTTTTTTCATTCTTAATATGTTTTTAGAATTAAAACAAGAATTTCTGTGATGTTTGTTTCTAGGTCATTCAATATTAACAGGGTTGCAACTCAGGCTGTGGAAGATGTTTTAAATATTGGTGAGTACCAAAATAGCTATTATATATTATAATTATAATATGTTGCAGAATGTGTATGTTTTATGATATGTTAGTCATTATATGATACAGAACATTTTATTTAATCAAGATATTTCTTTCTGCTCTTTTTCAATAGCAAAACGACAAGGAAATTTAAGTCTTCCATTGAACAGAGAATTGGTAGAGAAAGGTCAGTGACAAATGATCATAATTACCAAGTTTCATTGAAGTTCAGTATTGATTTTAGGATGTTATTGTGATGTGTACTTCTCTATTTAGCAAAGTACAATACTTTTTTTAAAAACTCAACCATGCTTTTAATATCTTTTTAAATATATTTAAAAAAGACATTTAAAGTTGGACTTTTATATTATGATTTTTGTCAACTATAAAATATAACCTCTATGTCAGAAACAGCATAACTGCAACTCTGTCTTGGGGATAGGAAACTATAGAAAAATACATGTCCGACAAGCAGGAAATGACCCTGAACTCGGTGCATTTCCTCTGAGTGAAGAGAAGCTCACTGAGCTGTGAACGCTCATCTTCACACTCACAACTTGTTCTGTTTGACCCTCTCCTCCTGCTCCTAGTCCTGTTGAGAGAAAGGATACTGATCTGGGAATTCGCAGATCTGGTTCCAGTCCCAGACCGAACAGGGACTCACTGGGAGCTGTGGGCAAGACTGTGGTTCTCCACTCCCCCTGCTGTACAGTGATGGAGGACAAGGACATCACTGTGCACGGGGAGTCTTCCAATTTGTTCATTCAATTTTGTTTTTAAAAAATATTTAAATTCTTAAATTCTGAAAAACACATTCATTTGATTGCATATGAAATTTTTTTTTTTTTAATCCTCATCCGAGGACATTTTTCCATTTTTTGTACAGACAGAGTGGGAGGGAGAGAGAGGAAGAGAGAGAGAGGGAAACATCGATGTGAAAGGGACACATCGAGTGGCTGCCACCCGCACGACCAACCAGGGCCGGGGACAAACTGCAACCGAAGTACGTGCCCTTAGCGGGAACCGAACCCGGGTCTCTCCGGACCGCAGGCGGACGCTCTAACCGCTGAACCAAACCGGCCAGGGCTGCATATGAAATTTTAACACACCAAATAAAGTTCACTAGTTTACCAGAATCATTGTTGTATAGACTTCAGACTATAAAGCTTTGTTACTATTTCTGTTTAATTGTATCCTTCAATATGAAGGTAAATTATTAAAAAAAAAAAAAAAAACTCAAATATGTTTATAGTTGCATCTACCTTCCTTTGTAAGGATTTGTTAACATATAAAACCAAAATAAAATACAGGCACAAAATGGAGATCGATGCATATAAGATTAAAACTGTCATCCATCCATAAACACAGACACCTGAATTTGAGAGTTATCAGAATAACTTCGTCCTTGTTGGTTGCCTTTAAAATGAAAAGTATTTTAACAGTGTCAGTTCCCATATCTGTACATTTGAATTTCTACTCAAAAATTCCTTTACCGGGGAGATGGTTTGCCTTTAAATTAGTTTGAAAACAGGACTAAATCTCTGAATTCCCTTTCGTTTCTCTAAAATGGACTGTTTCTTTTCTCCATTTGAGACCTTATGAATTATTTTAATAATGGCTTATGAGCTAGAATTAGTATTACTTCTATTTCAAAGAAAGGAAACTTAGGCATTTATAGTAATTGAGTCTTCATTATATAATTTAACTTAAAACATAATGCATACAGGCCAAGTGAAATTTGTCAGGTATGTAAATTAAGGATACATAATAAAAGAAAGTGATTTGTTTTTTCCTTAATAAACAAACGACTTTGCGAATGAACATTGCCTTTGAAGATTTGACTCTTCAGAAGCAGTAGTGACTGCCAGAGCCGCGGCCACTTGACACCTGTACGACTTCCTTACAGCGACACACACTGTGTGTGTGCCCAGAAAGGCAAATTCTTCCTTTTGAAACCAAATTAGATTTATTTTAAAGAACTCAGGAATTCAAATGAAATTTTGGAAGGTAGATTATCTGACAGTCTTGTAATAGTATCTTTTACTGTGCTACTACTCTAGGCATTCTCTCAAGCCTGACCTCTTTGGACCGCTGACTTGAACCAGTTAGTGCTTTGCCTGCCAACTCTCATGTGCCTTTTGGTTAGAAAGAAAGCAGGTCCCAACAATTTCTAAAACTGTCTCAAATAAAGGCATTTTCAGATGGAAAAGCATAATATTGCCTGTCATTGTTTGAGATTGTATTTTATATCAAGACTCTTAACTTATAATTATACTTATGAACTCTTTGACATGGTATTCTATTCTGGAACAGAACTTGGCAGGGGAATATGGCAACTCGTTTCATTTTTGAGCGCCATAAACTAGTTATTCTAGTTTTGCTTAATTACCAGCTTTGAATATTTTTTTCCCCAAAATGTACCTATTTCATCTATATTGTGAGTGGTGTAGGCTTCGTGGACTAATCTTGGAACCTAATCCTCATTTATAAGGTTTTTGTGTGTGTTTTTAAATGGAACATGTAGTAAGTTGCAAGATACTGAACAGACCTGTGGATCAGAACCACTTCTGAGTTGGGAATAGCATCCATTTTTCATTTTGCACCTCTCAAGTGACCATGTTATTGAATGTGCCAATATTTGTTCTTCTCTTTCTTATAGTAACAAACGAATATAATGAATCACTGCTCTACAGTCCAGAAGAACCAAAAATACTTTTCAGTATTCGAGAACCAATAGCAAACAGAGTTTTCTCAAGCAGTCGCCAGCGGTGTTTCACCTCAAAGTAAGCTGCCTGCCTGCCTGTTCCGTCCCTTGTCTCTATAAAGCACACCTGTTCTCAAAGCAATTTCATTTGGGCTGAGTCTGGTGGGAGAGTAGAGCCTGTGGGACTATTGAGTTGTCATGCTAACCTGCCTAAAATGATGTCTTCTTTCAAACTTAATGTGCCATTTTAGAGAAACTAAAATTTTAAGTGCATAGAAGGGGCATAGTTCTTTAATTGTGTGATGTGGATTTTGTTTTCTAAATGTTTCACCAGGTCAGTGTTTTGATTGGCTTATTATCACTTTTATGTCTCTGGTTATAAAATGCTGTTGATTTTAAAGGTTCTAGTCAATCCTGTTTTCCCCATAAATTCTGTTATTTTCAGTCCAGTTTTGCAGAAGACAAGATTTTCAGAAACATGGATATATAATTATTGTCAAAGTTCCTATACAAAAAATACTTTATAGAAATAAAAAACTTATTAATTAAAAAAAATTAATTAAACCCTATTGTGTAGCAGTTAACCTTTAGAGTAGGCTCCATGTCATTTCCCTCCCACATCTGCCACTTTAGATGAAAATGAAGGGTTTTAAAGAAACCGTTATTCAGGGTTAGGAAACATCATTTAATGAGCTGTTGCTTTCTGCAGGGTTTGTGTTCGTTCTCGCTGTTGGGATGCCTGCATGGTTGTGGATGGAGGAACTTCTTTTGAGTTTAATGATGGAGCAATCGCTTCAATGATGATCAATAAAGAAGATGAACTTCGAACTGTACTTCTAGAACAGTGAAGGATTTCCTCAGATGAAACATTTTGATAATCGGAAAAATACTTTCACTGCAGAAACAGACTACCAGTCATAAAGCTACATTTTCTGATGATTGTTGAGCCTGGTTGGCCCTGGGCTCAAAGGTGACTAAGAAGGTGAAATTTGTGTTGTTCTTCTGGTGGATTCTGACGGAAAGGATGTTCGCTGTGTAAGAAAATGGATGGACTAAACTGTTTAGAATTGATGCCAGTGAAATTTCTGTATGATTAGTATCCAAGAGTGCTGATATCTTTTAAATTTAGAGAGGCAGGTTAAAATAAAGGATTAAATGTTTCCTTCCCTTTTCTTCTAACTTTGTGTAATTGGTCAGAACAAACACACGTCATTTAATTAGTGTATATTTTTTATAGAACCTAAAAATCTAGATGTAAAAAAAATTTTGATGGAGAATTTTGATAAAACCTGACATTGACCTAATTGAAGTAGGTAAATGTGTTTTTCTATGTGCTAAGAATTTTCTAATTTCAGAACACAGCGATATTATTATGACTCTATTGATTTAAGAAGTTCAGTCAACCATTTTTTAAATTATTCAGTTTTCATTGAATTGATTCTCAGGTTAATTTTGGCAATGCTAGGTGAATTGAAGTACATATAACGAGACAGAATCACGATATTGTTACAAATGTATCCCATAGCTATTTTAGGTCATAGACAATTTTTTTAAAATGATTTGAGTCTAATAAATTTCTTCTGTATTTAAAACTCCCTAACATGGATTCAAAGACTAAAAGGATGAATTGATTAGACATATTCTGCTAGAAGTTTGGTCAAATCTTTAAAAAGTATTTTTTATCTACTTTATTTTAATATCATGGCCGTTTTCCCCTAGCTCATATTCCAAGTTTCACACATTAGCTTTGGAGGATAAAATGTTATGGCTTTTCTTCCCCTATGAGAGTTCCTTTATTTTTGGAGGAAATTCTTTTTATCTAATTCTTGATCTATACGTAATCCTAGACTTTTCACAAAAAGCACCCATTGCTGCATCAGGAAACCATTGGTAGTCTCCTGCCATTTATTCAAAGTTATATGATTTTTTTCACTTGCTATTAAAAATTTTTATTCAATCATTGAAATATTTATTGATTTACCCATTCTGTGCCATGTACTGTTGTCAACTGCTGGATATACATTGACAAGTGAAAACCTGTTCTGATAGAACTTGAGTCAAGCGAGCTCAGAATGAAATTCTGTAAAAGCTCGGATGTAGTCAAAGTGAGTACTCTTAGTTGTGCCAACATTTACCATGTTCTTGCCAAATTTTTTATATAAATGTTACTATACAAAAATCATCTAGATTTTGATGTACATCCAGAATAAGAATCTGTTTTTCTTTTCTTAGTTAAGAGTATCTGTATAGATATTCATTAGCAAACAGTTTACGTGATGCATACAGTAACTATTAGTGTGTGCCCAGAGCTGATTCTAGTTTCTGGTTTGATTTAAAAATAATCTAGTTAAGATCTACTTTATAAAGTGAAATTCCATTATAGGAACTCTCCTAATAGGTTTAAAATGACTTGACAAAAATGCCAACTCCATCTTTAATATTAAGGAAATCTGATTGTCCATATGGTACCATAGGTCTGTTAATATGTAACATATTAATAGGTAACCTGCTGTGTAAAATTGTTCATTAGCCGTATTTTAAAGGTTTAAAAATTCTTAATATGCTCCATTTGCAATATAACTTCTAATATTTCTGCTCTGTGGGGGAATTTATTTGTAAGAGATGATGAGAGGCAAAGGATGTTAGAATAGCAAAAATGTTTTTATGAATTAAACTTTAATGGCAACAAGATGTGAATAAAAGTAAACTACTGTTATCTCTTCTTTATTTCCTTATGGGGGTCATTATTTGAAAACCTGGTTTTTCCAAAATGTTATGTTTCAAGAGTCTTTTCCCCCACTGCTATGTATTATTCTTTACCCTGTTGACTTCATTCACTGCTAATCTCTGACACAAACCATGATTTGTTATATAATCAGAGGATAAAGTGCTTACCTTGTAAGAGTAGAGACTCTTCAGATAATTTTGATGCCCCTTTAGCATTTATATTTATGGCCCCAGTAAATCAAATCTTGGGAGAGCAGTGGTAACAAAAGAGGAGGTTGCCTTTTTGCTTGTTCAGGGTTAGGGTGTCCAGTGGAAAGGGGTTTTAGTTTCCCCAGTCCCCAAAACTAGTACCTTTCCTTATATGCTCTGCACTTTCCCCCAAGCTGTTCAAGCACAGTATCTTCCATACTGTAGATCTTCAGTAAATGTTGGATTGCAGCTGAGTTCACCAGGGTAGAAGGGACACAATGTTGTCACTTTATCCAGAAATAAAAATGTTGCACTTGGCCAGAGTGTCCCACATATCTCTGCAACTTGTAGCAAGGGTATAGAAGAGGGAGGAATCAAGGGCAAGAGGCAGATGTTGTGTCTCTTGATGGAAGAACGTACTACTACCTATCAAATATCTCCTCCTCAAAAAACAACTTGATAAGCCTGTAGATCAGGGGTTCTCAACACTGCACTGTTGACACTTTGAATCAGATACTTCTTTGCCGTGGGAAGCTGTCCTGTTTATTGTAGGGCAGTTAACAGCATCCTAAGCCTCTACCCACTAGATGTCAATGGTACCTTTCCACCTGTGACAACCAAAAATGTCTTCAGATATTACCAAATGTCTCCTGGGGTGCAAAATCACCCTTGATCTAGAGCTGATAGCTCCTAAATCTAATTACGATTGTGGAAATAGGTTAACCTGTTAAATATCACTCCAGGGATTACATCAGCGAAATCCAGAATGTGGAACACAGGACAAAGAACCTAGTTTTTTCAATAAATAAATTGCAAGAAGAAAAGGGGGGGGGGGTTTCTCAATGGTTAAGAGACTTGACAATGTCAGTTGGTCCTAGCCAGAGCTATTAGGCAAGAAAAAGAAAAGGCATTCAAATTGGAAGGGTCCCCACCCAAAAACTTAGAATAAATGAGTTTAGTCAAGTTGCAGGACACAAAATCAACACACAGAAATCTTGTATTTCTGTACACTAATAATGAACTATCAGAAAGAGAAATTAAGGAAACAATTCCATTTTTAAGTATACCAAAAATAATACCTAAAGTTAATTTAATTAGGGAGGTGAAAGACCTGTATACACGGAAAGCTATAAGACATTGATGAAAGAAAGAAGATGACAAATACATAGAGATTCTTTGTTCATGGATTGGAAGAATTAATATTGTTAAAATGTCACTTCTACCCAAAGCAATCTATACATTTCAATGTAATCCTTTCAAAGCTTCAATGGCATTTTCTACAGAAATAGAACAATCAATCCTACAATTTGTAAGGAACCATAAAAAACCTGGAATCGCCAAAGCAATCTTGAGAAAGAACAAAGCTGGAGGCATCATGCTTCCTGATTTCAAACTATAGGACAATGCTCTAGTGATAAAAACAGATATTGGCATAAAAACAGACACATAGATCAATGGAACAGAGCCCAGAAATAAATCCATGCATATATGATCAATTAATTTATGAGAAGGGAACCAAGAATATATAATAGGGAAAGGACAGTCTTCCATAAATAGTGTTGGGGAAACGACCACACACAAAAATTAACTCATTGGATTAACGACTTGACTATTAGACCTGAAATCATAAAGCTCCTAGAAGAAAAAAGTGGGCAGTAAATTCCTTGTCATCAGTTCTGGTGGTGATTTTTTTTGGATTTGACACTAAAAGCAAAGGCAACAAAAGCAAAAAAGTGGGACTACATCAAACTAAAAAGCTTCTGCACAGCAAAGGAAACCATCAACAGAATGAAAAGGCAACCTACTGAATGGGAGAAAACATTTGAAAATCATATCTGATTAAGGGGTTAATACCCAGAATATGTAAAGAACTCATACAAGTCAAGAGCAAAAAGGAAATCCAATTAAATATACACCACCTTTTGTTTATTCTTTCATCCACTAATGGACATTTAGGTTGTTTCCATATCTTGGTGATTATAAATGACGCTACAATATGGGGTGCATATTATCTTTTTGTGTTGTGTATACACACACACACACACACACACACACACACACAAATAGGATATTATTCAGCCATAAGAAACAAAATTTTACCATTTATGAGAACATGGACGGACTTTGAGGGTATTATGCTAGTGAAATAAGTAAAAAACCAACACCATATCATCCCACTTATATGTAGAATCTGAAAAAATAAATTAAAAAAATATGTAAATAGATAGATAAATGAAAAAATCCCAAGCTCACAGTACTGACAACAGATTGATGGTTGCCAGAGGTTTGAGGGTGGGTGGGTGAAATGGGTAAAGTGAGTCAAAAACTACAAACGTCCAGGTAGTTATGAGTCATGGACAGCAGGGCGACTATGGTTAATAAGACCATATTTGAAAGTTGCTAAGAGAGTAGATTTTAAAAGTTCACATCATAAAAATGTTCTGTAAGTATGGTGACAAATGCTGACTAGACTTATTGTGGTGATCATTTTGCAGTACGTACAAATATGGAATCATTATATTGTACACCTGAAACTAATCCAGAGCTGGCCAATTAAACCTTAATTTAAAAAGAGATGTCAACCAAATGCAGTATGTGGACCAGATTTGGAACCTGACAAAAACAAACCCATCTAAGAAAACACTTGAGATAACTTGACATTTGATGTTTCAGAATTAACCTGGGAGAATCTCTGTCTTTCAGAGGCATATACTAAAATATTTATTAAGTCATAGGTCTGGGTTTTTTCTTCAAAATAATCTTTTATTTGGGGCTGTTGAGGGAGGGATGAGATGGATAAAATTAAATTGGCCATGAGTTAATGATGGTTGACAGTGGATGATGAGGTTCACCCTACTCTGTATTTATTCAATGCTTTCATCATTAAAGACAGAAAAGGAAGCATAGTAGTGATAATGTAAAAAAAGCAGAAAAAACTGGGTAAAATTCAAGAAGAATCACCATTCTGAATGGGTGGATTCAAAAGGAATTGAATTCCTGGAAGAGCTCTGGATAGAGGGTGAACTATTCAAATAGTTTCGTAATGGGAATAAAATACACAGTACAAGCTGATCAAGTCTATTTCAAGAAGTACTAGTAGCCAACTTTTCTTGAGAGTACTTCACTATCCTATCAATCACCTAAATTTCAGAAGTTTTATAAATGCTATTCCTTTTTAAAGCACTTTAAAGATAAATAAGCCTATATTTAGCACCTTGTTAGGAAGTATGTATAAACTTTTAATTTGACAAAAAGCATATGAGTTAGATGGGGCAGAAAAGACCACTTTAGGGCTAATTTTGAAGGGCCTTATTTAAGAGGGCTGAGGCAAATGGCACCCCACCAAGTGCTGCCCCATTTTAACTACAGTACCTAAAGAGGAAGAAAAAGGGAATACAACATAACAGAAGCACTCATTTTTATAAAAATGTGTTTTATTTTAAAACAAGTCTATAAAAGTAGAAATCACATTATAAAAATACAGATTACTCTGATGTGTTAGCACAATAGCTTTTGGCTGGACTTGAGTTTGGAAGTACGACCTGTTTGAGGGCACCGGCAGTCAGAGTCCAGCTGGGTCCGACCCCAGCCCGTGTCACTAATCTGTAAACAATAAGCTCAAGTAGTATTTAGCACTTTTGAACTCCTACAACATTGAAACATAATCATTGCCAATACAGCTAGATAAGGGCACTCCATGCCATTGTTTCTAACATTTGAAAAACCTGATTTAATAAAAACAAAACCCAATGTTAATAGAAAATGATGGGTTTTGGCTTTTCTGTTCCATTTTGAGCACACGAGGGAGGTCATCAATTTAAGTAAGAAATTAGTGTTTGGTGTTTGTGGTTTGTTTTTAAGTAGAATTTAATCTGTTTGCTGTTCTGTGCTATTAAAAAAAAAAAATCACTGATGCTGTCAAGGGTTCCACACCGTGAAGGTTCCACACCTGAGTCTGAACTTTGCTGCAGTTGCAGGCTGTTGACTGTTCGGAAGCTGGGCACCCGCATGCTTCCAGTAGTGTGGATTTCTGACTGAGGAACATGCGGTTCGTAGGGATGTGGGGTGCAGCAACCTCACAAAATGGGTAGTTTAAAACAGCGATTATGGGAGACACTTACAAAAGGGGGGGGGGTCATTTAAAAGACTTGATTCCAGAGTAACAGGAAAATAACTTCAAGAACCTCAGCAATCAAGTTGAGCGAGCAGCAGGCAACTTCAGGTCTGCATTCCACCCAGCAATCAGGAACAGAGACGGATTACTACCACCTTTCTAAAACAAAGCAAGGCATTTTAAAACTAAAGCACCACTTCACGTCCTTCGACCATAGCATTAGAAGACCACAGTCACCTCTCTTCAGCTACTTCAGTGTTCTGGGAGCACAGTACTTGAAAGGGCACTTCGGCAATGCGCATGAGCTCATATTCGATTCCACTGTCAGAGAACACTGCCTCCTGAACCTTCAAGTTCTAGATCTCTGGCTGATTGATTTTTAAAATTGGGGTTTTAAGGTGAATTACCCAGGACTATTTTTTCATGAACCTAATTGCAAATCTAAAGGCAAAGGTGCGATGTGTATTTTTCTTTTTCTATCCCCAGAATGAGTGCGGCAAATCGACTAACCCTACGATTCCTTCTGTTCAGCTCACCGCACTAATAGCTTATCATTCTTCCAGTCTGCCTTACAAAGCGATACTGAAAAATTAAATATAAGTTACCATTTGGGTCAAGAAAATGATTTGCCTGCTGGTGATTTTTAAGCTGGTTTCTTAACTGATTTAACCATAATGGCACTTGAAAGAGACAGCTCAATTTGGCTCTTGGCAGATCTTGAAATTACAGGCTCATTCTCCTGAAATTTCATAAGGCCCACGACTAGGCTCTCAGGAGCATAGCAGTGACAGAGGCTTTTATAGTCATTTTATAAAAAGCAACACTTCATAGTTTTCTTTCTCAATGCTTCTCTAATATACTTGCAGAATGAAGGCAAAGGGAAAACCAAGAATAAAAATAGCCGAGTGCTCCAGCAACTGGACTTCCTGCCCATTTTCCCTGATCCCAAGAAAAAAGGAGACACCGTCTTGCCATGTGTACATCATAGGCAACTGGGCTTTTGCAGTGTTAGCTTGCATCTGATACCCCATATCTCTGGGTGGCTTTTGGTGCCAACAGTAGGCCTGGCGATGGTGGTAAAATGGGAACAATTGATCTGGAGGTGAGGAAGGGCTTCCTTTAACAGCTGAAGGGTATTCTCTGGCACGATTCCAAAAACTTGTAGTGTTTTTAGTGTAGGAATTTCTCCAAGTTCACTGGAAAGGAAGAGAGAGACTTTCAGACTAGCTGTATCTATGGAAACTGTTGCACTAGAGTTACATGACCCAATTTTGACCGTTTGTATCATACTCTATCAAATGCAAACTAAAAATGTAATTTGCAGTCGACGATTTAAGCAAATAGCAAAGGTGGAGCCACCCACGGAGCAGAGGCCACAGCTTGGGCCACAGCTTGGGCCACGGGGCCTTAGGAAGCAAGCCGGAGCGTTTTGCTGAATTTCCAGCGACTGAAAAACTCCAAGTTGGTTTATTTAAAATCCAACCATATTTGCTTCCTTTCTCCTTCTTGACTTACACTGGAAGGTGTTGCTGTGCTGTGAGGACAAGCCAGCAGGCTGGCGATGGTCAAGGGACATGTTTTACTGTGGCACCAGGTGGAAATCACTGAAGGTCACCTGCACTTGAAGGATATGGACTTGATCTTGACTTCTTAATACTGGTCAACAGCCCACAAGTCCATTCTATGTGATGGAACCTAAGAGTCCCTCACCAAGGTATTTCAGACAAGGTCAGGTGGTTGGGTGCAGATGAAACAGGGGTGAGCCACCACACCTCTGGGAGAGGCGACGGCCACGTTCTCCCCCCACGTATACATGTGACACACACAAGCTAATCCTCTTAGATGTTTCATGTGAGGTGAAATATAACTCTGCCAACAGTGAGATTCTGGTTCATAAAAAAAAGGAGCTTGTTTACCCAAAGTCAACACTTTTTGGTAATGATTCTTTCTTCTTAACCCAAATCTGGGTGCTGAGAAATCCATCTCTCTGATCTGTATTTGCTCCAGATTGGGACACACAGTACAAAGTCTCAGAAAGGGAATATTTGGTTTGGAATTTCAACAAAATCTCACTGCAAATCAATGGACATATCAGTGACATGGAGTTAGAAGCATCCTACAGTAATCCAGTAGTTACTTACGAAACAAGCATTTCTTATTATAACTGTCAACTCGCCTCCAACTTTTCTTCCTTCCGCTGAGTGTACATACCAATGCCCAAGGCATCTCCTGAAAGCCAAGCTCAGCTTATGCCACCGCCCTGCCCTGCGCCAGAGCCTCTGATGCCTGCTCGGGGTTTACAGAACCCAAACTGTTCAGCTCGCCTTAGGGCGCCCAGGCCGAACCTGCTCCCCCAGCCTTCCCTGAGTGCGTTCACTCTACAGTGTCTTAAAACACCCACGGTATTTCATACATGTGAGCTAAATACAACAAGGGTAATTTAGGAAACCGAAGTACTATCCAAATAAAAGAAACATCTCTGGTGCTCATAAGGGGACAATAAGACGTGGAAAGACGTTTCGTCTTGAGGAATTTTACGGGCAACTCCCGGTAGTGCGTTCACAAGGTAAGCCCATGCACCTGGAGAAACACACTCGCACCTTCGAGATCAAGGACGGCATTTTTTCTCTTTCTGTCCTCACTCTGTTCTGGTGGTCTGACTTGAAACTAACCTGAGGCCCCTGTTTATTTTCCTTTCAGTGTAAGATTTCCATGAATAAGTCATGGTCATGCAGTGGGCGTTCGCACCCAGGCGTGACTTCAGACCCTGGCCCTGGCCATCGGTGCAGCCAGCAGGCATCACTAAACAAGTGTCGTTATGCCTCTGGATAAAACTAATAAAATGGAGGGCCATAGTTTCCCTGGGCCTCTGCTCAAGAGGAAGCATTGGGGGATTACTGGCTTGGCTTTTCTCTCCCCAGAGAAAAAAACAAAACAGTACGACAGGTGGGTAGAGTCTCTTCAGGAAAGCAACCAAAAAAGAATGACCTCTGCACTCCCTGGGGACTGCACGGGCGCTGACGAGGCTGGAGCCCAGGTGGCAGGGACAGGAGAGAACACGACAGAGCAATCGTTCTGGGTGGACGCTAGAGGCTCCCGGGAGTCGTGGATGCTAGAAGGGGCAGGAGATTTTACTTTACACTGACGAGGCTCTTTTTGGATTTTTTAAAAATATGTTTTTTTTAAAGAGAGGGGAATGGAGAGAAAGAGAAACATTGATCAGCTGCCTCCTGCACGCCCTCTGCTGGGGATGGAGCCCGCAACCTGGGCATGTGCCCTGATGGGGAATCAAACGGGAACCTCTCAGTCCATAGGACAGCACTCAGTCCACCGAGCCACACCAGCAGGGCCACTGTTCCTTTACTGAGACCTCCCTCAACAGACTGGCAGGCAGGTGCCATCTCTGAGTCGCCATCAACCTGGCTGTCACTGTTTGCTCTGCGCTCACGATTCCCTGAGACCTTCCTCTCACCAACCTGTAGACCCACCAAGCTGTTTTTCTAAGAGCCATGCAAGTGAAAACTGGCATCCCTTTTGGGCAATGTTTTTCCAAATAAGATGCCAGTTCAGGCCCTGCACCCAAAATTAACTGAAGTAATTAATAAGAAATACAATTTCTGGATTCCCTAATTCTACTAGTTAGCCCTGCATAGCTGAAGTGTCTGATTTAAACCAACATTTTGAGGACTACGTAAATTCTCTGTTCAAATTCACCACCCGTCTGGGGTAGGAACCTGCTCAGTCATCTTCATTCGGAGAGCGAGCTACCTGAGGTCAGCAGCCGGGTTCGGGGCGTCCTGCTGGGGCGAGAAAGAACCCCTGACCTAGTCCAACCCCTGACTTCTTGTGGTTTTCAATAAATCTGCTACACATTTACATTTGGTCTGAGGAAGGGTTTCCCAGCCCTGTGGGATACAAGAGTGGAAGCTGTTCTAGAATTCAAGAGATGATATTACTCCTTGATTTTGTGGAAGTGGCTGAGCGGGGACAAAACTGCCCCTTGTCGGAGCTACCAGATTAGATCCCGACACCTCTGCACTGTCCAGGAGCCCCAGGCTGCAGGCCCGGTTCAGCCACGGACTCTGTACAGCTTTTGGTTAAGTGTCTTCGCTCTTTTGGACCTCAGTCTGCCCTTTCTCAAAGAAAGCCTCAGACTCTTACAACATTTACTTCTTAAATATTTCTCCTCTTCCCAGTCCTTAACCATCCAGGGCAGACGTCACTAGAAGATTATAGAATTTTTCCTCAGACCAGGTGAAGGTTTTTGGAGTCAGAAGTTGATGTGAAAAATTTGGAAGAGAGAAACCAGCATGTTGGGTGTTCTCCCTGGATGTAAGGTCATCTCCTTTCGAGTCCTCCACAGATACTAATACAGTATTCTATGCTTAAACCTGCTCACAGCCAAATAAGAAGTGTTTCGTGTATTATTTCAGTCAACTTACCTTTACTGATATTTTAAGCAAAACAATGTTGCCTATTTTGCAGGTCATTCCTACCCAGTTTGTGGTGCACTAATAGTGATGCGCACATTTTCAACTGCTGTCACTAGTAACGGATCTAACGCCCAGTGACATCTCCTTTGGTCCGTGCCCTCTACTAGCTTTAAAAAAACTTGACTGAGCCCTGGCTGGTCTGGCTCAGTGGTTGGAGCGCTGGCCCACGGACCAGAGAGGCCCGGGTTCGGTTCCCGCTAAGGGCACCTACCTCGGTTGCAGTTTGTCCCCAGCCCCGGTTGGGGTCGTGTAGGTGGCAGCCACTCAATGTGTCCCTCTCACATTGATGTTTCTCTCTCTCTCTCTCTCCCTCCCGCTCTATCTGAAGATGAATGCAAAAGTGTCCTTGAGTGAGGATAAAAAAATAAAAAACTTGACTCACAGTAAAGTTTCAGGTATTATATCGTAGCACCGACTGAGCGACAGGTGTTGGAGGTAGTTGAGCTGGAAGAATTCTGGAAAGCAGTCGTGATTCAGCATGACACTGTCGCTGTAACAGAGCAGAAGGAAAGATTCGCGGCCTCCCCCAGTGCCCGACGGGGAAGGAAAACAGTCCGCTGCTGAGTTCCCCAGCTCACCACACTAGGCTCCTTTCCTCAATGAGGAATCATGCTTTTCCCCTTATTTTTTCTACAATAAATAAATGAAAAAATACCTTAAGTCTAGGTGGACAAGATTGGGGCATCTTCCAATTAAGGTAGAGAGATCTAGGAGAAAAAATCATCGTCACTGTTAAGGAACAAAACAAAGATCTCTGCTATGGATACTACCATTCACCAGTGTGCTAGAAGTTCAGAACAAGGCAGAGTCCCACACTATTAAAAAGAAAAACAAAATTATCGTCTTGGTATACAAGGTTTTTCTATCCTGAAAATCCAAGCCAACCACCCCAAAACTATTGGAAATAGCGAGAGAATTTCGTAAAATGTGTGGTCAGCGACGATCCGTAGCTTATCCCTGCTCAGCAGAAACAGTGCCATTCACAGGAGCAAACAGAAAAACCGACCACCACATACAGCTGTGCGCCTCATAATGTTTTAAAGACAGACCACTGTACCCTCAAGGTGCAGGGACTACAATGGAGCCGGAAATTCCTATCCCTGAGTGACCCAGTTGTTGCAAGTGTCGAAGCGAAACACGTGGTCCCGTGTCTGCGGTGGTGCGTTGTCCACGCTGCCTGTTGTAGAAATGTTAAGCTCCTCTGATTATGCACAGCACATAACACGACTCTGTTACTGGTTTATGTGTTTATTATAATATACATTTTATCATTTTAGAGTGTACTCTTCCTACTGTAAAAACAGTTCGCACTAAAACAGTATATATGAAAGTGTAAAGGTTTTTCTTTCTAGACTCTGGATTTAAACCTCGATGCTAGCTGTTTGCCTTTGCCTAACCCTTCTGACCCGTAGCAACCTCATCTGAAAAACAGGGAAAATACAGGCACTGGATGACGTGAGACAACTTAGGAGGGCCAGCACTGGGGTGCTGCTCAGCACATCAAAGCCGCGGCTGTCCAGGCCCAGCGGCCCGAGGCGCCTACCTGACCTCTGGAGGTTCTTCCGGTAGCCGCTGAGATTCAGCTGGGTCACAGTCTCTGATATGTGCGCGACAGCCACTTGCACATGCTTTTCAGTGAAGTCAAAGCACCAGGAGAGGTTCAGCTCATCCAGTCTGCACACCGGAGAGGCAATAAGGAAAGGTGAGCGTCACACAGGAGTGAGTTCTCCAGGCAGCACGCTTCTGGCTGCACAGGACATGCGAAACCAGATTCCTTGCCATCTCCTGCACAGAACCTCTGCTTCTCTAAGCAGCTAGCTTTGCTCACCTGAAACTGCCCTGCCCCACTCCCCTGCTCCAGTTTGCCCCAGACGGCCAGCAGCCAGGGGATCTGAGCCAAGGCCTGAGTGAATACTGCCCCCTTGTGGAAACGAAGGGGAGCACCCTCCTCCCTTCTGAGGGCTCAGACCTCATCCCAAAACTCCCAAGTAGAAATTCCAGCCTGTTTCTTTCTCAACCACCCAGGTTGTTAGCAAACAACTACACAGATTGAACAATCATCTGAGATGTTTTAAACAATTGATTCCTGATAAAGAGACATTGATGTTGCAAAAAAAGTGGCTTCACCTTATTTGGCTTCTAACTCAGCAAATGAGGTATTCAAAGAAAATGGCCAACCATGACGCCACACAACATTCCTGGCATTCCTGAGAAAATGCAGGGCTTACATTTTATCTCAGTGATAACATTCTTATCAAAGGCCATCTGCTTTCCACAGATCATTGAGGAAACATTGGTATAATGCTATGAGATATAGGCAGAGACCAAGGGTTAAAAAGGACACATGCACACGCGCGTGCACACAGACGAGAGCGCACATGGAACTGTGGATTCTGTTAACCATGTCCTCCCCTCACTTAGTAATATCTGTATCTCTGTAGCCTTCATTTAAATACTGGCATTATTAACACAATATGAAAGATAAAAAACTGTTAAGTTAGGTCTACAGATATTAAAGGGGAAAAAAACCTGACTCAGGTGTAAACAGGTTTCTTTCAACCATGCTGTTGATAAACATATTACTGCATTTTCCTTTTTTAGAATAGTAACAACAACAAAAGGGATCACTACATGAGCATCCTTTGCAGTCATTGGATTTGGCTCCTGAGTTTGGACAAAAGTTCAGAGGGCAAAGGATATTGTATTATTCAAATCCAGAGCTCAGAGTTAGAAATAGCTCAAAAAATTTCCCAGTTCTGTTCAGATGTGAGTGATAACTGCACACTTGAAACCATAGCTCTGTACTCCAGTCTCCTACTCGGCCTACCTGGAACAGCTACTCAGCAAAGTCTTCAGGGCCGATTCGGAGAAGCCAGAGCACCCAGAAAGGTTTAGTCGCACTAGATTTGAGTTCTGTGCAAGGTTACTGGGAAAAGAGAAAAATGTCAGAAGGATACCGCAAAGACACTCTTAATTCGATAACAAGCATTCTGAGGAAAGCAGGCTAGTGAGGTGGGTAAGCACTGACAAGCCTCTGAGTCAGCAGTGAGTTCAAATTCATGTCTCATGGAGATTTCGCTTCGGGTGGTGACCACGCAATGCAATACCCAGACAGTGTGTCAGAGAATTGTACACTTGAAACCTACATGGCTTTATTAACCTGTCACCCCAATACATCTAATTTAAAAATGAAGTTAAATTAAAATGTGAAAACAAAAACATTCACATCTCACTATGTGTATGACAACGAGCAGGATGCTCTTTGCCTCAGTTTACTTCCTCATCTGTGAGGTGGTAGTATCAGTACCTTCTTGGTAGGTTGTTAAAATTAAGTAATACAGTGTAATAAAGGGCTTAACACAGTGCCTGGCACAGAGTATATACATGAGAAACATTCATCAATGTACTTTTTAAATTTAAAAGAAAAAGCATCCGGTCAAGATGGCAGGTAGGTAAACGCAGTATCGCGTCCTCCCACAACCACATCAAAGTTACAACTAAACTACAGAACAACCATCGTTCAAAACCGCCTGAAATCCAGCTGAATGGAAGTCCTGCAACTACGGAATTAAAGAAGCTGCATCGAGACTGGTAGGAGGGGCGGAGGCGGATGGGCTGGTCCCACACCCACGTGTAGCGGATAAAATCAGGAGGACACCTCGGCTGGGAAGGTCCTTCCTGAGGACAGAGGGGTCCCCGTCCCACACCAGGTGCCCTGCTCAGGGTTCCAGTGCCAGGAAGAGAATCCCCATCACTTCTGGCTGGAAAAACCAGCGGAAACTGAGGCTCAGGGAAGCTGAGGTGGCTGGAGCCCCAGGCAGCTCCTTAAAGGGCCCGCGCACGGACTTATCGGACTCTCTCCCTCTAAGCTTGGACGGGAGGCAGCTCGAGGGGCGCCAGAGACACACAGGTAAGAACTGAGCTGTTTGGCACTGGAGCAAGAGCTGGAGAGGGGGCTTTCTCCGGGACAAATGTGCTGTCAGAGGCCTTTGTTCCTTTGGTGAGCCCTTCCCTGGGGCAGCAGACAGCCGCCATATCTGGGACTCCAGCAACCTGGCTCACACTGGTAGCCCCGCCCTGGTGATTCCCTGAGGCCCCGCCCCATCCAACTTTCAGGCCCACCCAAGCTATTGGCACTTGCTTAACCATAGGATTGGCCCGTCTTGGGTCCTGCTTCAGGTTTTCCTAAATTCTTTCAAACGAGCAGCATCTGGTCTCAGCTAGCCCCATACTGCTCGTTAAGTAATACACAGAAACAAACACAGGGAGGCAGCCAAAATGAGGAGTCAAAGAAACAGGTCCCAAATGAAAGAACAGAAAAAAAAAATCTCCAGGAAAAGAACTAAGCGGAATGGAGATAAGCAACCTAACAGATGCTGAGTTCAAAATACTGCTTATAAAGATGCTCAATGAACTTAGTGAGAACCTCAGCAAACTTAATGAGGGCCTCAAGAGCATAAAAAAGGACCAGTCAGAAATGAAGGAGGCACTAACTGAAATAAAGAATAATTTACACAGATTCAATAATACAGTAGGTAAAGCCAAGAAGCAAACCATCGATTTGGAATATAAGGAAGCAAAAAACACCCAATCAGAACAGCAAAAAGAAAAAAGAATAATAAAAAAAATTGAGGATAGTGTAAGGAGCCTCTGGGACAACTTCAAGCGTGCCAACATTTGCATCTTGGGGGTGCGAGAAGGAGAAGAGAGAGAACAAGAAATCGAAAACCTGTTTGAAACAATAATGGCAGAAAACTTCCCTAACTTGGTGAAGGAAACAGACATACAAGTCCAGGAAGCACAGAGAGTCCCAAACAAGATGAACCCCAAGAGGCCCACACCAAGACACATCAAAATGCAAAAGGTTCAAGACAAAGAGAGAATCTTAAAAGCAGCAAGAGAAAAGCAGTTAGTTACCTACAAGGCAGTTTCCATAAGACTGTCAGCAGATTTCTCAAAAGAAACTTTGCAGGCCAGAAGGAAGTGGCAAGAAACATTCAGAGTGATGAAAAGCAAGAACCTACAACCAAGATCACTCTATCCTGCAAAGCTGTCATTTAGAATCGATGGACATATAAAGAGTTTCCCAGACAAGAAAAAGTTAAAGGAGTTCGTCACCACCAAACTGTTAGTATATGAAATGTTGAAGGGTCTTTTTGAAGAAAAAGGTAAAATATATGAACAAACAAAATGGCAATGAATATGTATCTACCGACAATGGAATCTACAAACCAAATGAACAGGCGGAACAGAAACATTCTCATAGATACAGAGAACATTTTGTTGGTTGCTAGATGGAAGGGGGGTTGGAGGAATGGTTGAAAAAGATGAAGGGATTAAGAAGAACAAATTGGTTGCTAGACTGACAAACTTCAAAGGGAAGGGGGAGTTAGGGGATGGGAAGAAATAAACCAAAGAACTTAATATGCATATATGCATAACCAATGGACACAGACAACAGTGTGGGAAAAGGCAGGAGGGGGGCGGGAATGGGGAGGAGGGGGTCAATGGGGGAAAAATGAGGAACATCTGTAATACATTCAACAATAAAGATAAAAATTTAAAAAAAGAAAAGAAAAAGTAATAGAATAAACATTTCCATTAACCCATAACTGGAATTAATTTGTAGGCAAACTTCTACTTATAAAGTTACTGGGTTCTTTCAATGAAATGTCTGTCAAATCTGCCCTGTCCTCTATATTCCCAAATGCCTCATGTTAGTGAAACAGTGATTAAGAGCCAGAGTTCTGGAATCATCATTGCCAGGTTCAAATCTTGGTTCTGCCTCCTACAAACTGTGACCTTGAACAAGTTATTCAGCCTGTGCCTCAGTCTCCACATCTGTAAAAAGGGAACAATAAGAACATATTTTATGGATTGTTGTGAGAATTAAATGAGAATACCTTTAAAGAACTTAGTATCTGTAACATAGTAAGTGCTCAATAAATGTTAGCTGTTATCATTTTCATTATTATTCTATTTCTTACATCAGATTTCATCATTTCTCGTCTGAATGAATACGACAAAGTCCTCGCTAATCTAGTTTCTTCCATGTCTGATCGGCTCTCTGAGCTGGACAGCGAGTTTTCTAAATTTCCTTCTGCCACGTTCCTTCCATGCTCAGAAGCACGCTCTTTGCCACGCTTGCTCTGCACCACCACAGCAGAGTGCAGACTTCTCCCAGCATGCAAAGCGCTCTAGCATCTGATCTCTGTCGTGCATGTCCACGAGTTCTCTCTCTTATCTGTTTTCTTTTCTGTTCAAGTCCCCCAGCCCCGAGCTGGCAGCCTGCTCTCTATCTACGAGTCTGTCTCTATTTTGCTTGTTAGTTCAGTTGTTCACATACGAGTGCAGAGGGTATATGGAGGATAAATGGTGACGGAAGAAATAAATTAAAATGAGTGGTGGTGAAAAAAAAGGTCTGATCCCTGCCGATCCTCACCCCTTGGCTCTCCCCTGGAGTCCTGTGCTCCAGCAGTTCCCAATTACATGAACTGAGAGCAGTTGGCTTTACCTGGATTGCTTCCTTCGCCCTGTAACACGGTAACATCAATACTGGGCTCAACACTTCCTTCAAGAAGGCGGCCCTCCCTCCCTGTAATTAGGCCTGTGTGTTCACATATTCACCAACACAGCGAACAAACACACTGCACTGTAATGACCTGTCTCTCCCTGCGTGAGGCAGCCCGTGCCTATTCCTCCATGCATCTCCAGAACCCGGCGTACGGCCCGGCACATAGGTCGCACGCACACTTTGGTTGCCGGGAGGAGTCTTGGAAAGTTTTCAGAAGCTGAAACACTGCACTGGATATTTTCTGAGTCCATCTGGGTATGGACAGTAGGGAACTCCAGTTATACTCAGGAAACAAACTAAACACATAGAAATAATGGCCTTAGTGACCTGCTCCCGGCTGCCACTCACTTGACAATGGGATCTGAAAGCTGTAGGCCTTCCAGGCTCAGATTCTGCAGCTTGGAGCACAGGGACAGGATGCCGTGGAGGGTCGACACATCCATGACCGAGTGCGACAGGTCCATGTGCTGTATGCGGAAAGGGCTGGACACAGGCGAGAAGAAGAGGCCGTGTAAGGGACTCACCGTCCATCCAGATCGAATCCGACCCTTCCCCCTCCCCAGATGAGTGGCCAGTCACAGGCTAGACACTGAAGGCACATTGCAAGGATGCACAATGGTTTTTGCCATAACACAAATTGCTCCTAGCCCATTCCCATCCTCATTCATTTTAAAATTCAGGATTTTTGCCAGGTCAAGATGTCACTGCCGATATAGTCCCACTTAGAAATTAATTAGTAGGCACTGTGAGAAGAAGCGGGGTGTGGGTGACAGGATGTTATGCCCATGATGACTTCTGGCGAGGATGGGGGGGTGCAGGGCAGTGGCGTTTGCTCAAACAGGGAAGATAACGGAAGGGCAAGCTGTAAAGGGGCCTGAGTGTGATGTCAGATGTGCTGCCAGGGAGGTGCTTGGAGGAAAGTCAGGTGCAGAAGCTTCTAGGTCATTGGGAATGGGGGTTTATTTGAAGGAGAGGCTGAGCTACCCGGCTATATGTGGGGGCATAGGACACGGCTTGTCCAAGGACTGTGTGAGGATCAGGAAAGAACGCAGCCAGGGGCAGAGCCTGGAGTGAGCAAAGGGAACGGCAGAAGGATAACTGCCCGCATCTGACCACGGAGACGGGAAAGAGCACTGGACTAGGATACACGGGCACCCTCCCTTCTGGCTGAGCTGCTAGTTCTGTTCGGCATCTAGTCTTTCTGTTCAAGTTGGAGCTACACTAAGCTGTATGAGTAACAGGGAAATAGGTTTGCAAAATATCCTACAAACACACAAAAAGAGGACACTTCTTCAGGCTGCAAACTTCAGGGTTCGAAACCCAGAGCCCGCAAACTGAAGACACTCCTCACACACTCTGCTTTCTCTAAAACAGGCACGGAGGAAGCAGCCAGGGTGCCCTGCGTCTGCTGCTGAGTGCTTGGTGGGCACCTGCCTCGCGGGGCTCACGGGGCCACCTGCTGAGGACCAGCTTCAGAAGCCCAGGGCATCTCCAACCCGGGGAACAGCCCAACGGTAACCCCGAGTTAAAAGTCAGAGGGTGTTTGTGAAGCCTGTGCCATGTGGCCACACAGCACACTGTGCAGTTAACCCCACCCTGCCCAGATGACCTGTCTCAGGCTACATCAGGCTGGGCACAAGGGGAAAACAGTGTTGATCTGTTTTCCACTTCAAGATTCAGAAACAGCCCTTTCCCGGGGTTTTTCTTGTTTACCTGAAATGCTCAACTAATGGTTGGTCCACAAATGAGCGTGGGCAGCAGAAGGCAACCACCCCTCGAGATAGCAGCCGCCCAATCACATCGGGGTGCAGGTTTCTGCCTGTGAGGTCTAAGGTCTGCCACAGGGATTCGTCGAACCTGGAAGAGAGGAGGTGCCCAGTCTGGTGAGTCAGGGCCCTGGGTGCCGGAGGCCCTCCACACCCCTGCTCACAAGGACACGGCCAATAACCGCCTGGAAGCAAAGCTGAAGGAACCTTTGCTGTTACGTTGACTAGAAGTTAGCTACGATGTTTTAAGGGCACTACTGAATATTTCTTGATCACATCATGGATAAGCTTCCAAGTTCCCTTCCACATACTTCTAATTTAGGTGGTTCAGGGCTGTCGTTAGCAATGCAAGGACCTAGACTCACAGATTAAAATTCCAGCATTCAATTCAATTTGATAACTTGAAGTGATTGCTCAAATCGCTTAACTGACTACTGAGTGGCGAGTAGGTTCAGAACGGCCACAATGGTCCCACTAGGTTACCACGGTTACCCTAAGTAGCATGTCAATATAACTACAAGCTGAAAAGTTAGCACTATTTTGTTGAGATGGGACTCTTGGACATCTACTGGGAGAAAGAATTATAGTTCAGCTCTGTTTTATACCTTTCAAGCTTTTGTGTGTGTGTGTATAAACACATGCATAGAAATGTGTGTGTGTGTATGAACTAATGTGAAAGGGAAAATATCACTGAGATTTTAGAGAGTGTTTCTAAAGCAAAGGGAGGTACTAATGCTGAACCACAATAAGGAGCTTCAACAACCGCAGATTCATTCAATTTGACAGGAAAGAACATGCAAGTTCAAGCGCACGGGAACACGGGAAATGCGCACCAGAACTTTATTTTTCCACCCTGCCCGAGATGAGCAGACCACTGGTGCGGGCTCTGGAGTAATTCTGCGCAGAGAGTGTCAGTGTGGCCTGTGACCTCTGTATTAAGAAGCCAGGACTGCAGTGCCGGGCACATAACAAGTGCTTGATCAACACCTGTCATTACTCTCATGACAACTGAGACGACAGGTAACAGATTCTGGTGACGAGGACAGCTGGCGGAAGAGAAAATGGAAACGGGGTCGCGTGGGAGGGAGTGACAGTGTAGTAGCGAGGGCGTCTTCCTTCCAGCACAGCCCCGTATGGGGAAGAAGCGGCTCCCACCGTCTCACAGGGGGTCGTTGAGATGTGGGACGAGACAGAGAGGGACAGCCAGAGTTGAATAGGCACGACAAGGAATGAAGAAGGAAAAAAAGTTCACCCCGAAAAACAGCCTTTTCACCACTTGTGGCCTGTTACTGCCTCTCCGACTCACCCAGACTTTCCATGTGCAGCTCACTGTCCACAGCTGAAAGGTGCTGTCCCCAAAACCAACAAGACACACTAACAACTGTGGGCTGTCACATGGTGAACACGTCCAGAGGCAGGCACCGCACAGGTGGCATCTTCGTATTTCATCCTCATAACTGTCCTGTCCTGAAGGTGCCGTTATTCCCACCTTTTCTACGGGGGGTGAGGCTCAAAGTGTCAAGTACCTCCCTCGGGTCACACAGAGCCTGTGGCGGAGGCTGGGCTCACACTCGATCCAGTGCCAGGGCCGCTGCGCCTGGCCAGTAACTCCCTCCCCCAGATCTAGGGCAAAGGGGGGCTCGGAAACGGGTGAGTTTTCACCTCTAGGAGACCCCTGCCTTGCACGGTGCAATAAGACACTACGTATTCATACAAACATGAAGATGCTTAGTTTGCTTTGTGCTACTATATTTTCCTTGGTTTTTCGTTTCATCAGACACATGAATGAATGAACCACCTCCCCCAGATGCCAAATGGAGTGTACAGCACTTACGCTAGGTGGTACCACCGCTTACAGACGCTGGAGACGTGGAGGAGCTCCGGGAGGCACAGGCAGGAGAAGATGCCCAGGAGCAGCTCGTCCGGAAGGGAGTCCCACGAAACACCTTTGACAAAAAGGAGTGTTTCCCATCACCATTCTTTTGTTTTTAAATTCCCACCTGAGGATTTTTTTTTCCCCATTGATTTTCAGATAGAGTGGGAGTGAGGGAGGGAGAGAGACACTCATTGATTGGTCACCTCCCGCATGACCTGGACCAGGGCCAGGGATCTAACCACAACCGAAGTTAAGTGCTCTTGACAGGAATTGAACCCGAGACTCTTTGGTCCTCGGGCCAAAGCTCTAACCGCTGAGTCAGTCCAGCTGGGGCCCATCAGCATTCTTTTACCGCCAAGTCCAACGACTGTTCATACACTCAAAGGAAACACAATATTCAGCTTGAATCAGGAATTTAACGCTACTATATTTTGTCATCCTCTCCATTGTTTTTCTGCTCACCCACTGTGTAAGCACCATGTTTTCTTGACAAAGAAGAAAAAGGGAAACCATGAATGTTTTCACAACTCTTCCTTTAGCGCCCACCAGCCAACCTTCGGCTAAGACTGTCAACGGTGGTTCCGAGCAAGTCCGCAGCCCGCTCCATCACGCAAGGTCTAGGGTATCCTGACGCCCTGCTCTCTAAGGATTCAGTGCAGGGTTTATCAGGTGGTGACCTTATTTAAAAGGCAAATGGACCTTCTTCCTTCTTCTTTCAGGTTTACAATTTACCTAGAAGTGTAATATCGAAGGTGCTCTCTCTCACCTATTAGTCAGCAGGTGTGTACTGAGCCAGGGGTGCTGTAGGTGTTGGGGAGAGAGCAGTAAACAAGCAGGCAGAACACCCTCCTGGAACCGCTGAGTCAAACCGGCGGGGGCCCATCACCGCTCTTTTACCACCAAGTCCAATGACTTTTCACACACGTGAACGATACACAACATTCAGCCTGAATCACACATAAAGACATTAGTAAATGACAGGATGCGCCAACGCTGATGAAGGCTGTGCAGAGAAATCACGCAGGGTAAAGGAGAGGATGGGGAGCAGGGTGGGTGTTCAGTCTGAACACAGTGGTCAGGGCAGGCCTTGCGGGGACAGCAATCCCTGAGCAGAGGCTCGAGCCAAGTGAGAGGCAGCCCTGTGGGAGTCTGGGGCTCCAAGTACAAGGAACAGCATGTCTGCTTTGAGGAACAGCCAGGAGTCCAGTGCAGAAAAACTGTCGGGGGGAAGGGGTAAAGGATGAGGTCATGCAGGGTTTTCCACGTCATGATGAGGTCTTCAGCTTTGACTCTGAATGTGCCGAGGAGCCACTAGAGAGCTCTGAGCGCAGGGGTGACAAAATCTGGATCTCACGTAAGTTAAAAAAAAAATCACTCTAGCTGCTGTGTTCGGAAAAAAATTGGAGGGAGAAAAAGGTAGATGCAGGAAGACGATTCCTTAGTCTCGTAAAAGTAATCTCTAAATAGGTATCCAAGGAGGAGCAAACACTTGCATATGAATGTGTAGGTCAGGGTCATATAATGACCAAAAGGGAAACGAGTGGGCACCAAAGCAATACCGAGAGTTGTCGGATCAGTTCACTAGCTTGCCTCCCCAGGCTCCTCCCAACCTCCAGGGATCCACACCGATTCTAGAGCCATCGTCTCCTCTGTGATGGTTCATGTTCTGTGTCAACTAGATGGGCCTTGGATGCCCAGAGCTGGTTACGCTGTTCTGGGTGTGTCAGGGCCGGAGTTTCAGGGTGAGATTAGCATCTGAATCGGCAGACTTGAGAAAAGCAGACTGTCCTCCTCCTGTGGGCAGGTCTCCTCCAATCCGGGGCCAGTTAGAACAAAGGCTAATAAGGGGAATGGCTCTCTGGCGGGGGCGTGGCTCTCCTGCGGCCGCCCTGGACTGGAACCTGCGCTGCGGGCTGCCCTGGTCTCAGGCCTCAGGAATGCAGATCAGAGGTGGGGCTTTCCAGCCTCCAGAACTCCTAACTGCATGAGCCAGTTCCTGGGATAAATCTACACCCGCCTCCTACTTGTTCCGAGTCTCTGAAGAACCCTAATATACAGCCCTCCCTCCCCAATACCCTCCCCCCTTTAAACGGGGCCAGTATTTAATGACCTGACTGTACCAGGCTCTGAGATCCCCAGGGAGAAGGGACACACAGGGCAACATTCCTGGGCAATCTTCTAGATCTTTCTCAAGCAATCATGCCCTTCCTCACTTAGAACCCTTCAATGGTGCCCCCAAAATACTGGGCCTAAAATCTATACTAATTAGCACGAAGTCCAAAGCTTTCACGTCAGGGTCCCACACATTTCTCTAGGTTCACTGTCTGTGAATATGCGCCAGCCATTCAGAGCTCTCTGTAATTCTTAGAATGAGCTGTTTGTGTGACAGCTCAGTGCCCTGTGCCGTGCCTGCCCCGCCCGCTGTGCACTTACCACCCAGTCACTTGAGAGCCCTGACTCCTCCGAAGGCCTCCACGACAGCACCAAAACGGGCCACGTTTTATTATTTATGTACTCATTTGTCTAGTCCCTCATGACACCACAAGTTCTTGAGAACAAGAACTCATAAAAAAACAACTTTGTATTTCCAAGAACTAGCACACTGTCTGAAACATTCATCCATTCATATACTTATCAAACATGTACTATATATTGGGGATATAAAGATGAACAAGGCATGACCTGCTCTGAGACACAGAGACAAGGGAGGGAATGTCAATGAAGTATTATGACAGGATGCAACAGGTGGGGTTCAGGGTGCCATGCTGTGCAGTGGACGGGGGCGGAGCAGTGGTCAGGGAAGCCTTCCTGGAAGAAGTGGCTTCTATCGAAGAATGAGTTGAAGATGTGCAGTCACTCAGTTAATCCCTGCACCTCTCTCTACAGGACAAAATTAAAGGCCCCGAATGCTAGGAGTAGAGGGATGAAGGCAGACAGATCATCAATGCTGACCCTTGACCAAGACCCAGGGGGGCAGCTGGAGATTAACGAAGGCTCCTCAGCGTGGCGGACACCCTCCATCGCTGCCACAGAGCTCTTGCAAGGTCAGTGTGCCCGGAGGTTGAAGGTTCTCCAACCAGGCTCCTGCTCTGCTCCCCTAACTGAAAAAAAGTAGACAGACAGGTTTTTCTCAAGTTTTTCTTCCATTAATTCTCTGGAACTCCCTGACCTCTGCTGTCTCTTGTATCTGAAGATCAGATTCTAGCATTTGATATGGCAAAATTTTACGTACTTAGTTATCCTGAATCTCATGTTGAGATTTTACTATAATCTGCAAAGACCATCCTGGCACCAGGTGCCTGATCACCCTCACCCCCTCCAACTAGCGTGAGAACCCGTGGACTGGAATTCAGCTACGCTGCCGCCAACTCCGAGGACCCTGGGCAGGTTATCTAATCCCCCTGGGCTCGATTTCTTCATCTGTAGGAATGGGGTAGAAAGATGATCCTGTCCCTCCCTGTAAAGATTAAGTAGAGTGTGGGAAAGACTGAGCCGCAGAATCTAACTCCTTTCTCTTTCTGGTCTCTGTTCCTTCCCTTTCCCCACTGAACCTGCACATTTTCTTCCCGTGACCTCTTCTTTCCGATGCTGCTTAGGATTTTCTCTCTAAGGCGAAAACGGCAGCATGGTGTGATTTACCAAGACCCCCAAACCTCCCTCTACATTTGGGATCCCCAGAGTCAGGTCCTGAGGATCTGAATCCAGCTGTTTTATTTGGGAAGTGATCTCAGGGAGCCCTGGAAGGAGGGGAGAGCGATATGGAAAGGAAGGAACCAACGCTGGGCATGTTAATAAGGGAGCTACTGTCATGGGCAACTGGGGTTCAAATCTGCTGGGGACTGCAGACCACCCCAGAGCTGTCCCAGCCAAGGGATTGGGTGCTGGGATATTAATCTACCAACTGCTGTCAGTCACAGCTGGGGGCTGTCAGGAGGGAGGCCGGAATGCTAGCCCCCAGCACACCTGCCCAGAGAAAGCCCTCAGCACATCTGCGCTCAGGAGAAGGCCTTGGGAATGGTGAGCTTCAAGGGGCTGTGGGCGGGCACCGAAGCGTCCACTAAAGGGGGGGGGGGGCTAGAGAGGCCCGCTGTGAAGTACAGAGCAGGGGAAATGAATAAACGTGGCGCTTCCTGTTCTATTGGGAAGACCTAAGACATTAGGAGCAATACAGAGATAGGTAATGAAAATGCAAGGAAGAAATTTGGGCATAGCAAAAAGTCTGCAGAGGACAGCAAATCAGGCAAGGAAGCCACACAAGCACGAGAAGCCTAGAATCAGGAGGGTTTTGTACTGCAATGTGCATCTTCACTGTCAACTCCTACTCATCCTCCGGGTCCTAACTTAAATGTCACTGCCTCAGAGGAGCACTCCCAAGTCACCAAAAGAGCCCCCATGCCCAGACTTGCCACCCAGCACCTAGCACAATGCCTGGCACATTACAGACATTCGCTAAATCTTTGCTCAATGCATTATACCTTTTACTCTCCGCTCATGCAAACTGCGAATGAGCTAAATCAATAGAACATATCTTTGGGTGAGGATTAAAACACACACACACACACACACACACACACACACACACACACAAACTGCCATTTACTGAAAGCCTGAAAAGTCTCAGGTATTTAGTAAAGCAACCTACTCGTTGCAACAACCCCATGTACTAGTGTTATCCCATTTTATAGACGAGGAAACTTATCGTAGGTGGTATCAACTATTAAGTGACAGCCAAAGGTCAAAGGTGGTTCCAAACCCCACCATGCAAAGGGAAGGCTTAGAGCCACAGGAGGTGGGTGCTGGCAGGCTAGCCAGGTAGCAGAGGGCTCTGCAGCTGGGGCCACCGTACCTGCAAAGGAATGGCTGAGAACCTTTGGCGTTTGAGGGGGATGAGGCTGAAGACAAACTGGGGAGCAAAGGAAATGTCCTCTGTCAGGACGTGAGTAACCGCTCCAGGAGAAGCTGCAGCTATGACAAAAGGGACAACTAGCTGGGGACATGGTGGGAATTCCAACCCAGGTCTGACTGCCACGCACACCTCCTTTCTATCCGCGGATGCTCTAGGATCCCATGTTCTTCCTGTTTGAGGACTTGATGTTCCACGAGTTTCGGAAAGGAGAAAATTAAATCTGACTTTCTACGAAAAAAAAAGACATCGACCAGGGCTGGGAGGGAGAGGGCGTAAAGCGAAGAAGCTGAGAGCTATCAGGGTTACCAGATGGAAGGGGCAATAGCCAAGATGTGCCAACAGCCAAGTACCCAGGGCCCCACTCAGGTGACCACAAGATGACAGTGATTCTAGGGCCCCTGGGTGGGCGTGTCGCAGCCTGAAACTGACTGCTGTCCAAGCAGATGGGGCAAAAGTCTGTCTTCACAGAGCTGCTCTCGCCGTTGGTATCCAGGCTGTGATACGCTTAATCTCATTTGACTTGCCATATTTAATTCTCAAAACAGCAACCATCTGTTTCCTGGATTCCTGACTACACTGCTGCCTGGTCTGTTTGCCCAGAGCAGATGAGAAAGTCCAGAACAGTCTCCCCCACTCACCTCTTCTAAACTGCCCAGGGCTGCACAGTAAGGGCCACAGTTATTCAGCCCAAGGCCTCCAGGCTTCAACCTCAGGGAAGCAGTTGGCCAGACTCACACCCCTCCTGGTCATCACCCTCGGCCACCACCCCTCCAACTTATTCCCGAGGTGCAGACCCAGCCATTCACTCCCATGAGCTTCTCAGTGCCCAGGCCTCGTCAACTCTGGAGAGAATGGCTCCTTGAGGAGTTTTCTGTGCAGTAGATCTTGGCAGGATATCTAACTCCTCTCTCTGGGAACATCCCCTATACTCAAAGTCAACGTAAAACACCAAGGTCATCTGAGTCATAAACACAACTTTGGCTCTTAAAACTGCTCCTCTCTTTAAGCACAGATAAATCATACTTGAAGGGCGAGCAAGCCTGCTGCTCACACCCAAGGTTTTAGGTGCATTTTTTAAGGGTTTGCTCACGTTTGCTTTCGCCAGCTCCCTGGGAGCAGCACTGACCCAGGCTTCCTTTGTCAGAAGCTACAGATTTCACCAGCTGAAATGAGTTTCCTTCCTCTTCCCACGAATCACAGAGAGTACACTGGATCACACTGGCTCTTGGTTTGAACTTTTTGGCTAGGTCAGCAAAACTGAAAAAAGCAAAGCAAAACCAGGGGTCCTCAGTGACCCCTCTGCCCCACTACCTTGGATTTCTGTGAGAGACTTGCTCCTCCCTGGAGGGTGGGAAGAGCAATGGACAAAGCACAGAAGCTGGGACTTGAAGAATAAGGTACAGCACACGGGCTCTAGGAGAGCCAGGTCCCTTTCTGTTACGTTCACTGCTGTATTCCTCACCTCCAGCTCAGGGCTCAGTAAATCTCTACCGAATGAATGGAAGCCACAGAGCAAAGAAACTGCCTGGGAAGGTCCCCTAAAGGCTCTCACAGAGCAGAGTTTTGAGAGCTGCGGGCGAAGATTCATGGGTGAGACATGAAATCAATCTAGTTTGACCAGCACTGTTTTTGAAAAATGGGATAGAACTGAAATACCTTAGTAAGGGGAATATAGTTTTGTGAAACATCTGTTTCAGATATACACCCAAAATTGCAATGTAAAATATATTTATTATTGGTTTAAAAAAAAAAAATTGGCCCTGGCCACTGTTACTCAGCGGTTAGAGCATCAGCCTGTACACTAAGGAGTCTCTGGTTCCATTCCCGGTCAAGGGCACCAAGGACAAGTACCTGGACTGCAGGTTCAATCCCCTGCCTCCCTCTCTTGCACTCTCTCTAAAAATCAATGGAAAAAATATCCTCGGGTGAGGATTAAAAAAAAAAAAAATTGGAGGAACTATGTTTGCCTGGAGCTATTAAAGCAGATTCCCAGGTTTAAGGCAGGACTTCTAGGATCAGTATCTCAGGAATTTTGCACTTTGAACAAGGTCCCTTGGGGATATCAGCATACTGTAAACACTGGAGTCTCCAGTCTGACAACCAGTGTGGGATCTGGATTCAAGCAGTTTAATAGCCATGGAAGAGCAGATCAACAAATTAGTTCAACAGTGCCTTCCTGCATCCTGTTTGGAGCGAGGAGGGGGAATCGGGGAAGATAAGACCAGGACAGGCAACAGGCATTTAATGCCCCCAGATAAAATGCAGTTGTCCTGTTTCTGCCCATTAATGACCTCTTCCTAACTCCTTCCACAAATTCACCCCAAGGGCTAATCAGACCTGTCCTGGGATGAGCTGGTCACATCATTTTTATCTTCCAAAGTAGACAGATAAAGGATTTAGTTGCCAGATGTGAGCCTGGCGTGGGGCCTGCAGAGATTGCTGAGTGCAGAACCCAGAAAAACGCACAGTCCCGGGCCACCGTCATCAGATCTCTATGTAAGGCAGCTGTGGCCTGTTCTACCCCAGTCCTGGCAGAGCTGTTAGCCACTTGTCCGGACAACTGCACACAAAACTCCCTGGAATGATGATCCAGTACACTGGAGGCCCACGGGGACCCACCGGCTGCCCTCATCCCACGTCACTGACTTCACCTCTCCACCCCGACCCCACACCAGCAAACCCCTCTATCCTGTGCGCAGTTCCACACAAGTACAATGTATACTGTTACTCCCCTCCCTGCCTCTCTCCTCTCACTTCAGACATAATATAGTTGAAGTCAAATGGAACAATCTAGTCCTTCTCCAGCCTCCTACACACCAGGTGGCCAGCTTCCATCTGTGGTTGTGAGTTTCCCTTATTGCATATTGTCTCTGCTCCTCAACTTGACTTGCATTTGCCTAGAAGACAGCAAGCGGCCCTCAATCTTATCCAGTTCCCAGAATGCCTCGCTTAAAAAATGTCTTTGTAATTTACATCTGCATGCGTGTGAACCCAGAAGGACACCTTAGTCACCCTCCATGTTAAAAGCTAGCAGCCCTGGGCAAATTAGCCACCATCTGCTCATTTGGCACCAAGTGTCTTTCACCACCTTTGGGTGGTCAGGCACCAAATTGCTGGTGCTGCATTCCACACCCTAAATGCAGCAGTGACATTCAATTCTGAAGGAAAATACTCTGTATTGCAGGGTCAGACCAACAGCATTAAGGACAAAAGGAAAAGTGAAGTCACCTCCCAAGTAGATGTCAGAAATGTTGACCAAATTAATTGGGCTTACTTACTGAGGGTTACCTGCAGCCAGCATGCTAAGAGCTTCATGGGCATTCTTTCATTTAATCTTCACAGCAACCTATGAAGTGGGTATTATTTCTCCATTTCACAGAGAGAGCCCAACTAACTCCCTAAGGCTGGTAAACAGCAAGCTAGAGATTCAAACCCAGATGCATCTGACTTCACCATAACCCTCTACTGCCTTTCTAATTCAACTCCTGATGTAGATTCCCAGACCATAACTTAAAGATTTCCTTTCCTAAAGGATCAAAAACAAACAAAAAACCAGATTTTTTTTTTTAAGCAACACAAGCCAGTCAGCAAGCAAGTACCTCTAGCCTGATCTCCCACTACTCTCCCCTGGGCTCATTCTAACCCTTAGAATTTGCCTTTCTTGTTCCTTCCACAATATAACATGCTTCTGCCCCAGGGCCTTTGCACTGGTTGCTACTCTGTTTAGGGCTCTCACCTCCAAGATATTTGCATGGCACATTCCCTTCCCTCCTTTATACTTTTGCTTATGGCTCACTGTCCAAGTGAGGCATTAATACCTTGTTTAAAATTTTCATCCATCTTCCCCAAACAGGACTTCCAAACCCTCTTGGCTTGTTCAAAGTTTTCTTTTTTTTCAGTCATAGCACTTATCACTAACATACTTCATGGCGTATTTACTATGTTCATTGTGTTCTCTCTCTAGAACAGAAGCTCCATGAGAGTAGGAATGTTGATGTTTTGTTCATTGCTGTCTCCCTAGCAACTGGAACAATGCCAAGCACATAGTATGTGTTCATAATACTTGCTGAATTAATGTCTTGAATGATTTATTAGCAAGAAAAACTGATAACCCCATGTCAATGCACTACATATTTTTTTAAACTTATCTTTATTGTTGAATGTATTACAGATGCCCCCCTTTTTTCCCCATTGACCCTCTCCTTCCCAATCCCACCCCCCTCAATGCATTATATTTACCCTATGGATTTGAGTCCTCCTTTGATTCTGATCCACTCTGAGAGGCACTCAATCACCTACTTAATTAAGAATGGTAACGGAAGTTCTATATTTCAGTCAGTCCATTCTAGCTCTAGGGGATGGATCTGGGGAAGATAAGGTTGGAATGATGAGTCCTTCTAATATTCAGGTAAGAGAAGATGCGAACTTAAGAAATATTTAGGAGATAGGAAGGAAAGATTCAATCACAGGTTGGATGTTGGGGGATGGTGGGAATATGTTTGACCTTCAGGTTTTTGGGCTGGGTAAGTGAACAGATAATGTTGGCAGTAATGGAGACAGAGGATGACAGAAGCAGCTCATTTGGGTATAGACCTGGTTAAGTCTCCTCCGCTTAGTTTTACATCCACGTTAGGAGTCCTTTAACAAATAACTAATGAAATTATGGCAAAAAAACTCAACCAGGGACATAAAACTAAGAATACACACAAAAAGAGTTCTACAGGAAGATCATCGCTTGTGTTCCCATTTATCAGTGACACTGAGCTGGCCTTTGAGCAGGCAGATTACTTTCTAGGGAAAATGGCAGGAATTTCTTCTCATGGGTTAAAATTGCACATGGGTTAAAAATCAATTGAGCCCTAGAAGATACACACCTACCAAGATTCCTATAGACTTCATTGACAATGAGTTGATTCATTTCTTTGGAAAATAACTTCAGAATTAGGCGTTTTTAATGGGGCCCCATCCTAAGATCCCCAAACAAAGGTCTACCAGCAAAATAGTTCAACCCACCCTTTCCATGACTGATAGTTTTTACCCTCAGACCTTACCTGGAAAGTTCTCTCGATTAAGCTTGGGTCTGCGGATGATCACAAAGTCCTTGTCATTCCCTTTACTCTTCAGTCTTTTTCGTGGGGGGCTCTGTGGGTGACCCATGTTTGAGAGCAGCTCCTGGGGAATGTTCTCACTGTCCACCTCCTCCTTCTCCAGGGCGGAGACCCCCATGCCTGACAGTAGTTCCGAAGTCTTGCTAGAATCCCATCCCCAGGTGAAGCTGGTGGTAACGTTGCTAGTCTGGTCTGGAATCTCCTGGAGGTGTTTCCTGCAAAAATGCACAATAGCCTCTTTCCTTTGAGGAACACACCCATGAATAATTGGTAGGCCTAGAGGAAACTGTAAGTTATGCAATGCAGAAAACTTTCACAGCAGCTAACAGAACCGCATTTTTTACATGCCGGCGCGCGCGAGTTCCCAAGCATGAAAGAGAAAATAACCGAAGAAATCAAAAAGGCTTTTGGATTAACGATTCTGATTATGCAGAAGACCTCAAGAATTTCTTAAAGTGGAGGGAACAAACAAGGAAAGACGGAGGGAAACCATACCACGATTCAAAACAGCAGCAGGAAACCCAATACGGAAAGACAATTAAAACCACACTCTGATCACCGCACTCAAGCATCCATCCATCGACGCATTCCCCCAAAGGGGCTAAGAAACCATTCACATTACAGCATTAGCAACAATTTTAGCAAGTAGCAATATTCGTGGCCTAAATGAATTACGACGGTCCATTCATACTCTGCCCCTTGTAATAATCGGTTTACCGGTGCATGGCGTCCACTGATTCCGGGATGATAAATTGTAGACTTGCCCGCCTCCCGGATTCCCGCTTTGGAGCGCGGCGGTCCAAAGCCTAAGGCTCGGGCCACAAGCGGCCAGACCCGCCAACTCTAGCAACGTTCCATCCCCCGCGCGCGCGGGGCTCTCCTGCTGGATCTCCGCGGCTGCCGTCTGCGGCCCCCGCTACCTGCTGGGAGTTGTAGTTTCCGCCCTGCTTTGTAGTCCGGCGGGCTCATCCCTACTTCCTGCCCTTGCAGCACCGCGGGCCTTCGAGATACCCACAATCCACCGCGGACGCGGGGCGAGCCGGCCCACGCGGTAGGCGGGGAAGCGGAAGCGGGCGGTGCTACGGCTTGGACATGTCAGCCGCTTGACTGGGGTCGGGTTTTCCTTTCCCAGGAGCCCGAAGGCCTTCTGGTGACCGCCACCGCCGTCACCTCGGAGCGTGGGTCGGCGTAGCCTCTCACCTGGACGGCGGAGGCGGAGTTTCCCGGTCCTTCCAGACGCCGTCTGGCGAGATCGGACGGTGAGCCTGGGGAAGAGCGTGAAGCATTCAGGGTCTGGGGATGGGGCTGAGCGCCGGCGGAGATAGAGGGGCTCACGTCCCCAAGTCCCTGAGTGGAGGCGGTGGCCCGGCGCCGGCCAGGTGAGAGGCTGCGAGCCACGGGTGTCGCACCTGCTCTCCCCGCGCCCGGCAGCTGCGGCCCTTCGAGGACCGGGTCTCTGAACCAGATCCTTTCCTCGCCTGGAGAATAGGCGCTGCGCTCATCCCGCAGGCCAGGCGTGAGGCTCAAATCAGATAACGCGTGTGACAGCGTTTTGTAAATTAAAGCGCAGTTCGAACGAGAGGCGGTGGTTTGATTTTAGGGGGGCAGGAAACCACAGTGGTTCCTGCTGGGTGCAGTGGGAAAGCTGCCCATCTCTCGTAAATGCTAGCACCGGAACAAATAAGGTGACAGTGCTGGCAGAGCGCTTTACAGTGCGCCACGCTAGGGCCACCCGCAAAAGCATTGGCTCTACCTGCTGCTGCCGGTTGCATCGCCGCCTAAAAGGGAGCTGCTTTTGGCCTCCGAGAAGAGTTCGGAGGCGGTTGCACAGAGTGTGCCATATTCCAGGTTGGATGACCATGCAAAATCCATTGTGCAGGCTACACTATGACCGTGACCCGGGAAAACAGCGGAAGAGAGGGGGAATAAGTTGCAACCCTAATAAAAATGGAGAGAATTTATTGTTTACAAGGAAGCAGGCCAGAGTCATCACAAAAATTACCTCCGTGTGCTGTTTGACACACTTTCATATTTCTTTTAATGGTTCACTTTATTCTGGAATGAAACCTCCCTTGCCGAGGTGTGTGCTTGTTCCAGGTTTGGTAAATACCACCTCTTAACAGAAATGTATTGGTGAATCTTTCGTCGTTCCTGAAAGTAGGTGAAATTGGTGTAAAGAAGGGACCTGTTCACAAGTCGATTTGGATTCAAACTAGGCTGAGAATAACTAGGCCAAATGGTAAGCATTCTGTAAACTAAGGTCATATGGAAGATATTTTTAAATGCAATATTCTGATTTTTTTATAACATAAACTTACCTTTATGTTACTTTGGCTAAGGAGAAAGCAAGTTGCCTTAGTTTTAAGGCTACATCTTTTCCCTTAAAATTGCAAGTTATTAGAGAAAAAAATTTAACAGAAAAAAAATTGTAGTCTCCTCCAGGAAAGTGAACAAGATGGAACTTACAAGCTAATGTAGGAGAAAGAATAAATGAAAACAATTTTAAATGCCAAGATGAGAATAAGTAAAGTTTTGACATAAAAAGTAATTGGATAGAAGCCATTTTAGATACAGACCTTATAGATAGGAAGGTGTAATAGGATGATTCTAAATTTAATGATGAGAAATATTCTTGTGCTAGGATTTAGCTGTTAGTGCCTGGGAGCCAGGGAACATTTCTCGTTCTCAGTGAACTTGAAATACCTGAATTGGTGCACATGAGGTCCTAAATAGGACTTTAGAGAGAGCCAGGCAACTTTGAAAATCAAAGTCTTCAAATTCTATTTTTTTTTTTTTTTTTTTTTATCCTTACCCGAGGACATTTTTCCATTTTTTGTTCAGGTAGAGTCGGGGGGAGAGAGAGGAACAGAGAGAGGGAGAGAAACATCGATGTGAAAGGGACACATCGAGTGGCTGCCACCCGCACAACCGACCAGGGCCGGGGACAAACTGCAACCGAGGTACATGCCCTTAGCGGGAACCGAACCCGGGTCTCTCAGGACCGCAGGCCGACGCTCTAACCGCTGAGCCAAACCGGCCAGGGCAAGTCTTCAAATTCTAGAACAGATATTTCACTAGTATAGAAATACTTTAGCCTGCTAAAATGGGAATACATATTTTTTTTCTGCATTCCTTCTAATCGTAGGTGTTCTCTGTGTATGTTAAATAAAAGTTTAAACTGGTACATGTGATTCTATGTGATATAAGGAATTGTATCCATTGCAGACTTGAGATTGCTATCTACTCACAGATTGATGTTTGGTGTTTTCAAGAGCTGCATTGTGATTGCAACTGATGTCGATTGTTTTATTTTCCTGATTAATTTTATTCATTTAATCTTACTCAGCACTCCAGATATCCCACTTCAGTGAGGGAGATATACCATATTTCCACAAGTAGAATTACTAGATCAGTATCTAGGACAAATGAACTATAATTATTTTTTATATCTGCAAATAACATTAGAGTGAGTAATTTCTGGTACTCTTTGGAAGCTTCAGATGGAATACAAAGTGACTTTGTAAATTGGGAAAGTGTTTATCACACAAAAAGGGAAGAACTTGGTTACAAGATCAGTGCACAGGAGGGGCCAACAAGGACTGGAAGTTACATTGGACTATAAGCTGTCTATATTCAGTAGTATATTAGTGTTCTTGAAAATCAAATATGGAAAAAGAGATTCTATTGAAATAGAAGGGAGATGTGTTTTTTCCTTAGCTCCATCACAGCATGAGGTAAATCTTAAGATTCCTTTAGTTTTTTAAATGTTCTTTAATTTAGGGGAACAAAGACAAAGAAGGGTTCTTTTCCAATTCTAATTTGCTCTGTTTTCTTTTCTACTTTCCCCACATAGATTAGAGTCACATATTATCCTTAAGTAATGGCAGTCTTATCTGCAAGGTTAAAGGCTTAGTTAAATTCTATATTAAACATGACTTTCTTCTCATTCTACCTTGATATATCTAAGGGAATAATTAATAGGAAAATGTTTCTAATTTGCTCACTATGAAAACTGAACAAAAGAAATTATTTAAACAGTTTAAATTGCATTAAGAAGATAGTCGGAACTGGAGAAGAGAATATGTAGTACCTTAATTGTGAGCTAGGCTCTGTAGTCAGGATGTCTGGGTTTGAATCCCAGCTCTAACCCTCTCTGCGCCATCTTTTCCTTTATTAAACAAGGACAGTAACAGTCCTTTCTCATTGGATTATGAGGTTTAATTCAATAAAGCGTGCTAGCACAATGCTTGGAATCTAGTAAAGTCACACTAAATGTTAGCTCTTCCTTTTTTTAAGAAAATTATTTTGTTATTAGGAAGGATTCTAGGGATCATTCTCTCATTATCAAAATAAATCTTAATCTCTTTACTGAAAGTCTTTAAGACTCCATTACAGTTCCTCTTGTTTTCTTCTTACCTGCTTACATAGTTGCTTCCTCTCTCTCTTATGCCTTGCCAAAGGTGAAACAGTTCTTATGTGTCCATCCATCTTTCTTCAGAGTGGCTTGTCATGCTTTGGAATTCAGTTCACCTGGTTGGTTTGCCAACTCAGTTATGATCTTTTCACATTTTAAAGTGGGGGTGTCATTCTCTTGTGGTATTCTATTTTTTAAAATGTTTTTATGGATTTTTTTCAAGAGAGGAAGGGAGAGGGAGAGAAAGGTGGAAACATCGATGAGCCCTGGCTCGTGGTTAGAGTGTTGGCCTGCAGACCAGAGAGTACTGGGTTCAGTTCCCGCTAAGGGTACGTGCCTTGGTTGCAGTTTGTCCCCGGCCCCAGTTGGCGTTGTGTGGGTGGCAACCACTCAATGTGTCTCTATCACATAGATGTTTTTCTCTCTCTCTTCCTCCCTCTTTCCCTCCTGCTCTATCTGAAGATAAATGCAAAAGTGTCCTCAGGTGAGGATTAAAAAAAAAGAAAAAGAAACATCGATGAGAGAGAAACATTAATTGGCTGCCCCCTGAATGCCCCCTACTGGGGATCAAGCCAGAAACCCAGGCATGTGCCCTGACTGGGAATCGAACCCGTGCCCTCTTGGTGCATGGGATGACACTCAGCCAAATGAGCCACACTGGCCGGGCTCTGTCTGTGTTCTAAGCTGAATTCTCCATATACCTAAAATCTTTAAACGTGAGCATAATGATTATCTTTGGAAATGAACGTTTTGATTGGGGGTAGAGAATTGTTGACTTTCATCACACATCTAATTCTGATTCTTTTTCATTATTAGGATCTTGAGTTGGCTCCTAATTATTATTTCACATAGCTGAGTAGATATACATGTTTAAGTTAGCACAGTCTGATTCTGATAAATCGTTAGGTTCTAGTTGGAAATTTTTCATCCAATTTAAGAATCTTAGGTTTTGTTAAAATTTTTGTGTCCTCCCTTCCTCAATTCCTTCCTTCATTGTTTTCCTTATCTCACTCTCTTTTTTTAAAAAATATTTGGAATGCTTCAAATTTTAAAATTGTCCTCGCTTCCAAATTTTCTACTTAAAGTGTGTTTAGTCTGAAGAATCATCATCAACCATAGAGTACTTAGGAAACAATACCCCAGGTCTGTAACAACATTCTAATTAGGAAAGGCATTTGAAAGAAATACTGTACAATCTCTTGATGATTGGTAAAAGCCTGAGTTGGATTTTAAATGCTGAAGACTTTCAGAACTGGTATTTTGAAAGGTAGACTGTACCTGCATCTCAGGAAATTCTAGCATTTTGGTTTGGAGTAAAATCTACTTTTGCTGCTGAGGTATTAATGCCAACCTATAATAACCTTCAGTCTCTCTTATTTCTAATCACACAGGACTGAATTTTGATATGCCTCCAAATTTTAGCATTTTCTTCTTTTATTTCTGTCATTTTTATTACATTAAT